CTCCGCAGTGGCTCCCTACTGGATATCTCTCAAACCTGCTTCTTCCTCCATGTTCTCTTCCTCTGGGAGTAGCACCACCATCTACCCAGTGGTTCCAGCCAGATTCCAGAATGATCCTTGGTGCCCCTCTCCCTTGTTTCTCAAATCCAGTTCAGCCCTGTAAATTCAACCTCCTGAAGGTCTGTAATCTGCCCTCCAATGAAAAAAGGGGCATAAATGCTGGGATAAAGTCATAAAAATAACTTGATAGTCATGAAAACCATTACATTCCACTTATTGGAATCAACATACCTTACTTTAGAGAGCAAGGAGTGATCGTGATTGCTCTATAAGCTATATAAATGTCTAAAGACTATGTTGTAAACCTGAAACCAATATAATATTGTGTATCAACTGTAATTCAAAAAAAGTGTATTGAATTTTAGTAGGTCGGTGATATGAGGGCCCTCGATAAAAATAAAGCAGGGAAGGGAGAAAGGGTGTGTCCGAGGACTGTAGGCGATATTAAATGGGGTGGTCAGGTTGTTCTTCGGACCTTCCAAACTGTCTGGGAAGGAGCTCTTTTCCTCTGTGATCTCCGAGCTGTCAGGAGCTGCTGCTCCAGCTTTCTGGAGAAGCTGGTCTGTACAGCCAAGAAAGCAAGGAGTAGAAAAAGTGTATTGTCTATTGCAACAGAACTTTGAAGAAAGAAACAATTAAGCAGAATATGTATAAACCATTAAATATATCTGTATGGACTGTCCACGAGAAAAAGGATACAAAATACATTCAAGACCTTTGGCATGACATATAAGCATGAAATCCAATTAAATGCAATCTAATTCAGTCACCTTAATTTAATCATCAGAAAAGGAGAGGCCAATAAGACTAAACAATTTAAAAATAAGACCCTTATGTAACAGTGTTATAAGTAAACTCAGAAATAACAATGAGACATTATTGAAATATCCAGATTATTGCCAGGGTTTACTGCAATTAGTTTTCTCTACTTAATATGCATGTGCTTCAGATTATAAAACCAGGAAGTTTATTTGTACGATGAACCAAAGACCATCACATTGATCGGCTGGAATTTTCCACACATTTCCCATAATCTAACTGCCAACACAATACAAACTAATATTCAAAATGCTATCTGCATCCCATGTAAATTTTAGGTTGAGCACCTAGTCTTTGATTCAAGGAGAAAATGGTAGCTTTTTTTCCCTGTTATACAAGCTATGTCCATAAAGTATAAAGTCAAAGTATAAAATCATATTGGTTGCTAAAGACAAAATATATTTCAGTACAACAATGTACTTTCCAAAGGAAAATGCTGTCTATGTACCAACACAGTCAACATCCGAGAAAAAAGGCCGAGGCCATAAGTTCAAGTTAAATATCCATGTTATATTTTACCAGTGATCTTTCTAGCCAAATATGCTTTGCCTCGGGAAAATAAGTTGGGGCAAAATGCCTGGCAAAAAGCTATTAAACCAATGCATGCCCTCGAGTTCTAATTCAACTGCTTTAAGAGTTCAGATCTTGCCCTGGCCAGTTTGGCTCGCAGTTGGAGCGTTGGCCTGCGGACCAGAGTCCCGGGTTCGGTTCCTGCTAAGGGCACGTATCAAAAAAAAAAGAAGATTTCAGATCTTTCTGTATAATAGTATTTAACAATACTATTATATCGTTTGTTTACTGTTAGGTCAACATATGCCTCTATTTGCTTTATCTCTATAATAAAAATTTAAGCTCCCTGAATGCAGGTGATCAGGGAGCGTATGTGTCACCTACTAAACCCTCCACAACCTTGAGACTCACAGAATGAAAGCCTGAAAACAAACGAACAAATCCCACATCACATACTATGTCTCACTAGGTCTCAGAAACTGCACTGGTCACAGATTGGGGGTGGCTGACTCCCAAACCAATTCTCTCGTGGCCACGCCCATGAGACCCCTTCTCTGGTTGAAGTCTCCACTCCTCTGGCCACAAGAGCAAGCACACAAACAAGCTTGCCTGAGCGTCCTTCTGTGACCTTCAAAACTGAGTCTGGGAAAGAGGAGTTCTTTTCCTCTATGGTATCAGATACAAGCTGGGGAGCCCGGGGCTGCTGCTCCGGCTTCATGGAGAAGCTGGTCTTGACAGAAAGCAGAGTCCCCTCGGCAGTGAGAGGCCGATGAGCTGGACACCGCCTATGCCAGCTTCACCCCTGATCCTCCCACAATGAGGATATGAGAGTCAGTAAATCCCTTTGACTGGCTTTTCACTAGTTCGTGTAAGGATTCCATCACTGGAAGCCAGAATTCTAACTGCACAGAAGCAGATTTGTATTGCTATAAAGATTCTTGGAATTCATGAGGTTCAAAATCCTCACGTTAGGCATTAGGAAAATGAATTAGTTAGAGAGGTTAAGCACCTTGCCTCAAGTCTCAAAATGGAATTGTAAGGAGGCAGGAAACCGTGGCAGATTCTGCACGCTGGCCCACCCTCACGCATTCGAACTCCAGCATTCCCCAGGCGTCTTGCAGCTAGGCTGCCGGCACGTGGCCCGAGTTCCATGGAAGCATGGGCATCGAACCAGGACTTGGCTGAGAAATGAGCACTGAGAGGTGGGCACCGCTGCAGCGAGACTGTATCTGCTGGGGAGCAGGGTGGTGGAGCCCTGTGTTCTTCTGAGACAACTAAGGTGACTCTGGCACACAGTGTCCTCCTGCCTGGTGCGGCAGAATCACTCTCTCTCTCTCTCTCTGTTGACTGAGTAGCATCCGAACCGGTTCTGGTTCGATGGCTCTCCCAAGATTCTGGGAGCTGTCTAATAACTTTCAATAAGTCTCTGTCTGCTAAACCAAGATAGAGTGCTGTTTCAAACCAAGGACCTTGGCCTGTATAGAATTGGGCACCTGAAAATGGGGTGCTGCAATCTGAAATATGAGATTCGATTACTGGGGGAAGTGGGGCTCGGAGCCATGAAGGCAAGGTGCTGACTGAAAGCTGGTAACTCTTCCTGCGCAGTGATGTGCAACTGGCCCACGCTGTGCCTCAGATTGTTCCATTAGAAGAGACCATAACAAAAACATCTGTCTTACAATGAGGACATTTAATAGTACCCAGGATTCCTAAACCCTTCCCAAATTTAGTATCATTTAGAAATTGTTTTTTAGTTGCATCACAAACTAAAAAAAAAATAGTGGAACACATTATGGATTTTATTTCTCTCAAACCTGAACATGAATGGAAACTATAAAAGAAGTACTGGTCTATGCAGTTCATCTGTTCAAAACAGCAATCCCAAATCATCAATGAAAAAGTAAAACGATGAGCAATATACAGACCGAGAAGAGACAGGAGTGGATCATATATACTGTATAAATATTTCATTGAGACCACTTTGTATTTTGCTTGTGTGTATTGCTTGCAGCTTAAAAATACTTCCACATTTCTCTCCCACCTCACCTTCTCCCCCTCCAATTCCTCCCTCTTCCTTCTTTCTTTTTGTCTCTGTATCTCTCTTTCCCTCTCTCAATCCCCTTTCCTGACCAGCATTTGCTATCTCTCTCTCTCATTTTTATAAATGTTTTCTTTGTTTGCGTTTTGAGAGAGAGAGGAAGGGAGAGATAGAAACATCGACGTGAGAGAGAAACATTGATCAGCTGCCTCCTGACGCCCCGCACTGGGGATCGAGCTCACAACCCAGGCAGGTGCCCTGACTGCAAATCGAACGGGGACCTCTCGGTCCATGAGCCACACTGGCCAGGCGCGCGCGTGCGCGCGCTCTCTCTCTCTCTCTCTCTCTCTCTCTCTCATCATAGCCATTCTAACAAGTGTAAGGTAACATTTTACTATGGTTTAATTAGCATTTCCCTGATGATGAGTGATATTCAGCACCTTTTCATGTACTTGTTGGTGAAGGGTATGTCTTCTTTGGGAAAAATGTCTATTCAAGTCTTCAGCCTTTTTTTGGTTTGTTAATCCTCACTCGTGGATATTTTTCCAACTATTTTTAGATACAGTAGAAGGATGAGAGGGAGGGAGAGAAAGAGAAAAACATTGGTGTGCGAGAGACACATCGACTGGCTGCCTCCTGAACGACCCCGACCAGGGCCAGGATCAAACCTGCAACCCAGGTACATGCCCTGAACCAGGAGTCAAACCCGCAACCCTTCAGTCCTTGGGCCAGTGCTCTAACCACTGAACCAAACCAGCCAGGGCCCCCGTCCATTTTTTAATTGGATTGTTTGTTCTTTCTTGCTATTGAGTTCTATAAGCTCCTTGTATTTTTTATATATTAACCTCTTATCAGATATATGGTTTGCAAAATATTCCCCTCCATTTAATAGGTTGCCTTCTCATTTGATTGTATTAATTTTAAAATGTAAGTCTTGCATTGCCAAAATTCAATTTCCCCCTGCATTTTTCATCATTGGTAGAGGAAAAGGAAAGAAATGGAAATGGAACAGGACTTTTCTCTGTGACATTATTAGTAGAAAATTTTACTTCTCTTCTTCGGAGCCAAAGGAGGGCACCTGCCTTTTCTCATTTTACCTACTTCGCCTCTCCAAGCCTCAGTTTCTCCATATGTGCAATGTGGGTCCTCAAGGCCTTTCAAATGTGATGTCCCGATGACTGAAGACGCTCACGGATTAGAAAACTGAAGCCTTCAGAGGCCGGGCCCTGTGACGCGGCAGGTCAACCTCAGCCGCGAAGGGAAAGCAAGGGCTCAGGAGGAAAAGGTCATACGTGCCGGGGCGCGGTAGGGGCGGCACAGGACAGCACGAGACCTGTTCACAGGGCACTGGGGAACAAGGATCCGAAGGTGGGGAAACCGGAACCCAGGATCGGTGGTGACATGGGCACGGCAAACCCTTAATGAGCTTGACCAGGTTGCTTTGTCTGCGACTATCACTTAAACCCCCCATCTGGCATATTCAGAGGGCTAATTAATGAATATTACAATTGATGACGGCGATAAGAAAGAAAGGGATTCTCAAAGCTGTAACTGTAAAAATATGTATACTTACCCATTCCAGTCCCTGCCGGTGCAATTTCTCTTGAGAAAATTTCCACTGCCTTCTTCTCTTTATGATGTACTGCAAGCCAAAGAGCTACATGTCGAGGACCCTGCTGACGGAGTAGAGATCAACAAATGCAGAGGTCAAAATAAGGCACAAGTCTGAATTTGCATGCCATAAAAGAAGATTTTTTTTTCCTGGACCATATAAATATTTCTGGTATGCATGTTTACTATAAATTTATTATTATAAGTTTTCCTCATTATATCACACAGGTGATTTACTGGTGATATAAAAAGTAAATATATTTAAAATAATATATTAAAAGTAATATATTAAAAATAGATAACAATCCTAGTCCCCTATAAATAAATAAAACTTTTATCTTGGGAATTTAACTTGACACATGGTAAAGATAGGTTGGAAAATTGCTGAAATTGTAGTTGTAAATTTCCTCTGTTGTTTTTTCCATTTATCCTCTCTTTTATTTAATTGATGCCCATTACTTTCTTGTGTTTTTTTTTTTAAAGGATGATAGTTTCTTAGTTTTTTTTTTTAAATCCTCACCTGAGGATATGTTCTTATTGATTTTAGAGGAGAGGAAGAGAGCGGGAAAGAGAGCGAAAAAAACATCTATGCAAGAAAGACACATCAATCGGTTGCCCCCATATGCACCCCAAATGGGGATTGAACCTGCAACCTGACCAGGAATCTAACTCATGACCTTTTGGTACATAGGACGTCACTCCAGCCAACTGAGCCACACCAGCCAGGGCAATGCCCATTACTTTCTTTATATGACAGATGATTTAAAATTATATCTGTAAAATTACTATAGCTTACTTTCTCCTGAAGAATGTCTGCAGCAAAGATGACCTAATATCCTTGGGTAGTTTATAGAATGAATCAATTATCCTAGTTTGAAACAGAGTTAACTAGAAAAGTATGCAAATAAAAATGTCATTTAAGAATTTTAAGAATTCAGCAATCACCTTCTTTGAAACGTGTGGTCGTTTGGAAGACCACTGGAAAGAGTGAAATTCGAAGGTCTAGCTCCATCTCTTATTCTGAAGATCTGCTTGTCCTTAATTATCGGTTCACGTCTCCATAACTTTATTTTCCTTTCCAGTAAAATACAGATCACGTTAGCTTTCTAACTACACTACAGAGTTATTAAGTTAAAATAATGTGGCATTAGATGTGAAACACTTCAAGTACCAGTATGAGATATAATTATTTTAACAAAACCAATAATTAAAACTTCTACTTTTCCCATTATGTGTACTGTCAATCTCTCTCTCTCAAACCAACTTAAGAAATCTATCTGACAATTTCATTATATGACTAAATAGAGGTTCATGGGCACATCATGAAAAATAGACCTATGCACTGTTCTCAAGAAAGCTTTAATATAGAGCCCTTGCCAAACAATGGATTCAAAGCTGGCTTTCACAATAACCTTTCATTTTAAGTTCTGCATTCACTCATTCTAATTCAGTGGATTAAAGATGGCAATTAAAAAAATATGGCAATTAAACCACCTGGCAACCAAGAGAGCACACATTTCTACGCAGAGTGAAATATCCACACTTTGACACCTGGTTTCTGTTTCTGGGTTTTATCAAGCATCTAAAATTCCTCATATAATTCTAACTAGCCCCTGAGTTTACATCCTGACCTTACCACACACTAGTCTACAAAATAAAACACAGGAGTTCTTGGCATTTGGGGGGCTTTATAAAATAAAATGAGTAACAGGCTGCAAAAATTATGAAACCAAGAATTCTTTCTCCAAAATAAAATATTTAGCCAATGTCTTGTTGAGCTTATTGTTTTACATAGAAGAGAAAATTCCTAAACAGAAAAGAGTCTTGATAAAGATTTGGACACAGCTACTTGTGTTATTTAATATATCTAAGACTATAAATAACATTATTTTTCTCTTCTAAAATATAATGAAGTATCTTGTTCTATTTACCCAAGCCGTAATAATCCAGTTACAAAGAGTTTAGATCTTTTTAATCAATTCTACAGTGAAATGAAACTCTTGCTTCTCTTGGTTGAAAGTGCAGATACTAGAAGGTGACTATAGGGAGTTAAAAATTTGGTCCTGCCTCTCCTTCGCTGTTTGACCATAGGCAAATTACCCAACCTCTCTGTTCCTGCGTTTCCTCATTTATAAAATGGAAATGCCAACACATGTACCTAACCGGGTTGGACCAATAAAGACTTTAGAACAGTGCCTGGCACATATAACCTCTTAATTAGTGTTGTGACTGTTACTGTTGTTACTGTTATTTCCCATACATGTTAACACTTAAGTGAAAGCAACAATTGGCCAAAATATCTACAAATAATCCAGAATAAGTAAAATGGCCAAACCCTTGTGAATATTATTGAGGTTAAAAAGTCCTAAAAATCATTCAAAAGGATTAAAGATGTAAATAGAAAGTTATACAAGACATACTTGTAATGATGCTGTGAGAAATAAATACAGGGTGTCTCCTCAAAATGTATTCCCAATTTGAGTGATTACAAAATCAGTGTTTATTAACATACAGCTCGTTTTCAAAATTTAAAAGAATCTACAGAAACTGGTAACTTTTTTTGTTAATGCCTGTTTTCAAACCAATGACCGTTCTGGTCCAAGCACCGCCAATAACAGGAAGCAATGGGACAGCAAACATAAGGATCATTTTGTCCAGTATTTGGACGCAGTCTCTTTCAATAGCTGCCCTCAATTCGTCAGCTGTTGCTGATTTTGTACCAAAAACTTTATCCTTTATGCATCCCCATAAAAAAGTCTAGTGAATAAATTTTCTTTGTTTAAAGCTTAGTTTGGTTTCACCCATTATTCTGAAACAGTTAAACCTGGAAAGGAGTAAAAATTAAGTGAGTTATCAGCTGTTAAAGTGTGTATATGTTTTTGGGGGACACCCTATATATGATAGAGAAGAAAACTACCTGGACAAGGTCAAACTAATTATCTATAATTTAATGAGACATTGATAAGACTTCATTTTGTTTAACCATTCATATTTTTAGAACAATTTCAAAATGCTGTGGATTAAATTAATGAAATTGATTTTTTGTTTGTTTTTTTATCCTCACCGGAGGACATTTTTTTTTTTTGCATTTATCTTCAGATAGAGTGGAAGGGAGAGAGGGAGGAAGAGAGAGAAAGAAACATCGATGTGAGAGAGACACATCAACTGGTTGCCACCCACACAACCCCAACCAGGGCTGGGGACAAACTGCAACGGAGGTACCTGCCCTTAGTGGGGACCGAACCCAGGTCTCTGGACCACGGGCCGACGCTCCAACTGCTGAGCCAAACTGGCCAGGGCATGAAATTGATTTTTAATGGGTAGTCACAATAGATTTGACATACTTTATATATCGGATTTTTTTTAATGTAAGCAAAAACAATTCTGAATTTCTTCTCTCTTTTCTAGTGACTCGCTAGAAATTTTCCTGTAAGAAGGGAATAAATATCATTTCTGTTTTTGCTGCTAAGGAACAATATAAAGAACTCATCAGAAGTTAAAAATTTAAATATTCATAGCTCTCTAAATACTTTTGAATAAAAGCATATAGGTGACATCTGAGAGCCTAAACATAACTCAAATATTTAACATGGGGTAAGAAAGGGGATGGAATTAGAGTTTTGCAGTAGGCAAACAGAAAATTCAAATTGAATAACAAGCTTATTGTAGAACATAGATTTAAAAAAAAACAGCCCTGGCCAGTTTGGCTCAGCGGTTAGAGCGTCGGCCTGCGGTCCGGAGAGACCCGGGTTCGGTTCCCGCTAAGGGCACGTACTTCGGTTGCAGTTTGTTCCCGGCCCTGGTTGGTCGTGCGGGTGGCAGCCACTCGATGTGTCCCTTCACGTCGATGTTTCTCTCTCTCTCTCCCTTCCTCTCTCTCCCTCCCACTCTATCTGTACAAAAAAAAATGGAAAAATATCCTCGGGTGAGGATTAAAAAAAAAAAAAACAAAAAAAAAAAACATACTATAAAATTGAAGTAACCCAAAATTCATAACCCATCAAACCTCAGTCAGGTTGGTCTTTACAATAAATACTTTCATCTGTAAGTAATTAAGAATATTCCAAACCATTCACTTACATTGGAATAAGAAATGTGCTGTTTGACTTACTTCATTTAAACTTGCTTTAGCTTGTGCTCCATATATTTCCTCAGATCCTAAAATTTGAACTTGAACTTCACTATAATCTTCTAAGCCAGCTTCTTTAAACATAAGACGAGTTCTGCAGCAAAAAATATGTGACCAAAAAAAAAAAAATTATGAATTTTTGGTAGGTCAATTTCAACATTTCCCTAGTTTTGTTCCTGATAAAGATCGCCCATTCTGGATGTCAATAATGATTACAGTTGAAGGACTAGGACAATTTAGGGTACTTATGGGCACCATGTCATTCCTGGATATTAGTTTTAGCTTCAAACCACAACATTTGGTATGTTATAGCCTCAATGTCCTTTCTTCTAAACAGTCTAAAATTGAAGAGTTTTCTTATTGACCCAATACTTACAGATGCAAGTACTTTTTATGTTTCTAAGGGATTAGAGTTTACGTTTTTTGTTGTTGCTTAAAGTTTTATTGTTAATCTGGTGTACTGTATTACCTATGGTCAAAGGATGTGATCTGTAAAATTTCTACTTTCTGAAATGGATTAAGGTAGCCTTGAGGATGCTTGGAAACAAGGTGCATACTTGTCTTTTGGAGGAAAATGTTCTATCTGTAGCTATTAATTCAACACTATTTTTTGTTTGTTTGCTTATTTATTTATTTATTATTCTCGCCCGAGGACATTTTTCCATTTTTTGTTCAGGTAGAGTGGGAGGGAGAGAGAGGAACAGAGAGAGAAACATCGATGTGAAAGGGACACATCAAGTGGCTGCCACCCACATGACCAACCAGGGCCGGGGACAAACTGCAACCGAGGTACATGCCCTTAGTGGGAACCAAACCCGGTTCTCTCTGAACCACAGGCCAATGCTCTAACCGCTGAGCCAAACCAGCCAGGGTTATTTATTTATTTAACTTAGCTTTATGGTTGAATAAATTACAGATGTCCCTCCTTTTTCCCTTACTGCCCCCCTCCTCCCCACTCCCGGCCCATCCTGTCTTTCTCACATTATTGTCAGTGTCCACTGGGTATGCATAGAAGTTCTTTGGTTTATCTCTTCCTTCCTCCCTCCCCCCTTCCCTTTGAGATCTGTCAGTCTAACAACCAATTTGTACTTCTTAATCCCTTCTCCTTCTTCACCCATTCTCCTAACCCCCCTCCCATCTGGCAACCAACAAAAAGTTCTCTGTATCTATTAGTCTGTTTCTGTTCTGCTTGTTCATTTTGTTTGTAGATTCAATTGTTGATAGATATGCATTCATTGCCATTTTATTGTTCATAATTCAACACATATTATTCTAATACTCTATGTTCTTTTTTAGTCAACATGGTAAATATTAAGATCTGTTAAAATCTTTCACAGCAACTATATTTCTCTCCACTTCTATTTACATATCTAGTAGTTTGGACCTAAATGTCTCCATGCTACTTTATTTAGCACATCAAAGTGCACAACATGAACTTGACTGTGTATGATACATTTTATTCCATTTAAATCCTACTTTACTATCAGTATCACTTCCCGTTATTTTTTTCCTTCTTATTCTCCTCCTCCTTCTCTTCTACTTCCTCACCCTTTTTCTTGTTCCTTGTCTATGCTGATATTTTTTACTTTTTTCATTTGTTTTCAATGTGCATTATAACATCTGGGCATTGCTTTTAATCTATTCTAAGAAACTGTTATTTATTGAGCAGTTTATAACATTTATGTTTATTTATACAACTAAGATTTTGACTTAACTTAGATCTCGTTTTATGCTTTCTGTTTTAATGTTTGCTTTATTTTCTGATTTTTGGAACAGTCATTCATTTGTTCAATAATATTTACTGAATAATGTGTGTCAGATATTGTGACATGTAACTCTGTTTTCAATGCTTTTATTTTATTTTATTTAAGTGCCTAGGAAGGTATTTATCTTTTAGGGATTCTCTGTTTAAACATCACTTAGAAAAGCTTTCCTTAACTGCTAAATATAAATTATGTTCTATTATTCTTTTTCATAACTCTTTAATATTTATTCAGAGTACTTTTTAATTCTTTGTGAGTTATTAGTTTAATGATTATCTGCATACTAAACTTAAAGAGGACGGTCACCTTGGCTGCTCATAACTGTGTACCCAGGGCCCAGAAGTGACTGGCATGTCGTAAGTGATTCAAATGTTAGTTGAAAGTGAGAATTAATTAATTATTCATTAATAATGTAGAGAATTAAAAATTCAAACTGTAATTGTCTTTAATTTAAAAATGCTTGGATTCTATATCAAATGATGGGACCATGGGGTATTTTCATTCATTTTCCTGTTTATATTTTTTGCACTTTAAAATGCTTTATAATCATTATGTTGATAAAGAGTGAAATAATATGCCCTGGCAGGTTTGGCTCAGCGGTTAGAGCGTCGGCCTGCGGTCCTGACCTGAGAGACCCGGGTTCGGTTCCCGCTAAGGGCGCGTACCTCGGTTGCAGTTTGTCCCTGGCCCTGGTCGGTTGTGCGGGTGGCAGCCACTCGATGTGTTCCTTTCACATCGATGTTTCTCTCTCTCTCTCTGTTCCTCTCTCTCCCTCCCACTTTACCTGAACAAAAAATGGAAAAATGTCCTCTGGTGAGGATAAAAAAAAAAAAAAAAAAGAGTGAAATAATGTGATATGAGTTCCTTCTTATTAAAAAATAAATTAGCACTCATTTGTATTTTTCTCCCTCTCACCAATACTTATTTTTATTAATAGGGGTTTGAATCTTTAACCTAGATTCTCATGACTAACTCCATAACATACTTTAAATATGTAACATACTAGGGAGCATTACTCCTATGGATAGAATGTAAATGATTTGATTCAAACATTAGAAATTTTCATAAAAGTCATTAAATTTGGTTATAGAAATATTATAAAATTTATTTATATGAATCCTTTTTAAGAAAAGAGAACTTTCTGGGACAAACTAAATGATCTCCAGACACACAACACTTGTCGGTACCATGTGACCTATGAAAGGGTCAGTTACTTCTGATTCTATTGCCTGTGTGCACTATGCTGACTTTCTAAACAATGTTTATGTTAGGGGAAAAAAAGTATAGGTTTTCTAGTAGAGTTTAGCATCCATAAAATTTTTCTAGTACCTATTTCTAGATATTTGTGCATTCATAACTGTAAAATTGTTGGTGCAAGGCTCATTTGTCTCAGTATCTGTTGCTTAATATATACTGTGCTGAATGAATACATAAATATTTTGGGGGGAATGTTAAGTGATCATAATAATGATTCTTGTTCAATAACTAGTTCACTGACATGCGTTACATTTAGTTAGACTAGAAAACACATCTTTTTGTTTCACATACAAACCTTTTCAAAATACTTTCGGCTGTTCTCCTTCCCTTTTCCGCTGCTTTCGGTCCTCCTATTGGGCAGATGGCAGTTGCTCGGAAACCGTCATGGTAACAAGCGCTTACCTGATGACATAAGGTTACAAACATAAACAATGGTATAATCTATGCCAACAATAAGATGCCCTAGAATCTAGGACCTTTTTTAACTACTGATCAGAAACTATCTTATCTATTCCAAGTACATCAATAAATAAAGTTGCCTTTTCTTAAAGAGATAATGACTTTCACAGAGGTCAAGTAGAAGATTCAAAAAAGCTTTAATATTGTCAACAATAAAAATAAACAAACAAACAGTATATAGGTAAGGTTACAATAGAAATGTAATTACACTGTAGAAAGTTAGAAAAATATGTAAAATCTGTTTTAGTCTGGATTGTGGCTTTATTTTTAGTGGAGATATGTCAGAGAATAGGTCTCTCACACAGTGTTTCAAGAAACTCAAAGCTCTAACTGCCAACATTAGTATATATCTTAAAAGTACTGGTTAAAACTATGGAAAAAACAGGCCCAACTGTGAAGAGACCTCCCAATTACCAAGTGACAAAAACAAAGACCAACAACTCAAGAATAAATTGAGATTTAAAGTTCATGATAAGAAATAGGTTTTTTAAAAACTACTTTGAGTCAACATTGAATTCAATAAGTTATTTTAATATTTCACTACTAAACAACTCAATAATGAATTACAACTATATTTGACCTTTATTTCTGAATTTATAAAAAATATTTTTGTGGCTTTATTTTATTTTTTTTTTTGGTTTGTAAAAAGTTGGCTTTATTTGTTACTTTTTCACCTTATCTCAGTCATGCCATTTTGGTGTCCACAGTGACAGTCCCTGGAAGCTGAGGTCAGCCCCAACCCACTGTGGTCATTAATCACAGAGCACCAACCTAAACCTCACAGGGCCCTACTGATGGATACAGGCTGCAGGTAGGGCTCTGGGATTCCTGCCATGAGGCCCAGCACCACAGCCCATGAGCCTGAGGACTGTTGGTGGCTTTAAATTATACTGCTATTTAAGCTTCCAATCAAGCTTTTTCTTCTACTTTGGAAAAGAATTTGGAAATACTCTATTGGAGACAATATAAATGTCCAACAGGGATGTAGACTGTGATATATGCCTATAATGGAATGCTAGGGAGCACTTTTGAAATAATGTCATTAAGTATTTAATCATGAGGAAATGCTCCTAATGTTAAATTAATATAATCAAAATATCTAAATATATGTGTTTATATTTGAATGTGACTGCCACCCTTTTTTGTTTACGCTGGTTTGAATTGTTTGTCACTTGCAATAAAAAGTCCTAACTAGAATATTTGTAGGTTATTAATTTAAAAATCCATTTTAAAAACTTTATATTCACAGCTTGATGTTTTAAAAACTGATGCTTTACTTTTAGAAACAGCATCACTCTATAGCTTCCAGAGCCCTTGTTAAAGTAACAGAATAAAAAAAAAAAGCACGTTTGCCTAAATTTTGTTTTCTGCCATGAACACATCATATTTAAAATAGTAACATTTAAAAAAAATAGTAACATTATTCTTAATATCATTCAGATTATGTGGCCCCGTATTAATAATGCAAAACCTACCCTAAGCCCTTCTCTACCATACACATGGTAGTTTCTTTTCTTTTTTTTTTTTTTTATCCTCACCCGAGGACGTTTTTCCATTTTTTGTTCAGATAGAGCGGGAGGGAGAGAGAGGAAGAGAGAGAGAGAGAGAAACATCGATGTGAAGGGACACATCGAGTGGCTGCCACCCGCACGACCAACCAGGGCCGGGGACAAACTGCAACCGAGGTACGTGCCCTTAGCGGGAACCGAACCCGGGTCTCTCTGTACCACAGGCCGACGCTCCAACCGCTGAGCCAAACCGGCCAGGGCCACATGGTAGTTTCATATAATAATCACCTTAAATTTAAGGAATTGCCATAGTATAAGTATAATTAATTATAAGTTCTAGAATTTATATATACTGATTAATTTTACCAAAATCAAGAAACCAAAGATGGTCTGTGGGCTTATCCTCTCCATGATTTCTGCCTACTTTCTACAGAAAATTACTACTTTATCCTAATTAAATCCCCTATCTATTGTACAGAGGGGAATTAATGTGCTTCCTCCCTGAACTCTACACAGGTAACAAAATTACACAAGAAAAAAGACCTTATAAAAGGAAGAAGGAAGGGACCCCTTTGCTCCTTGAATCCGCACTGCTCCACCTTCAATGCCTAAACATTAAAGAGAAAAACAGAATCACTTATTTGAATGCAAAATCTATTCACTACTTTTAATATATAGCTGTTTTTTTTAAATGAATTAAAACATTAAAGAATGGAGATTATTAGAAATTCTCTTAAAACAAGAAATGCAACTTATTTTAACTTGCTATTGATTTTAATTAGAGCACTGATGAGATCGCAACAGGCCTTTTAAGCTTCTGAACACATCCTTGTGAAAGAAAAGACCTTTATCAGCCTCACCAATAAAACTTTCATTACTTAGGGGAGTGTCAAAAAGTTGGGCTAATTACAGCTTAATACAGTTCACCTTCTCACCTGTTGAATGCCGATGTGTGTCGTTTTACATGTCTGTCCATTGAGTAGAACCTCTCTCTGAACTAAATAACATCTAAAACACTACTCAGGATGCATCAATTATGGTATCAGAATAAAGTGGGTGTTAATAAGAATTAATTCTAAGCAAGAAGATGTATATCAGTGGATAAATAATATACACACCTGCATTATTTAGTAAATGTGATAGATGTATCATAATTTTGCAGACAAAAGGTAATTTTCTAGAGAATCAAAAATCTTAGTTACTATCTTCATACCGCTGAAAGCATTCTGAGAGTTTTTAAATCTAGCTTATTTAACAATATTGTACAATAAATATAAAGAAGACTTTACCTTCTCTAAACAAAGATTGTAAAGGTATTATAGCTTTATCACACTTTTATCTTTAGTATCTATTTGATCGAACAAACATTTTGTTTCTGGGAGCACAAAATTCTTAAAGGAGCAAGGAGCTGAAAATCTGAGAGACCTAAATTTAATTCCCAGTTAGCTATGTATTCTCAGGCAAAGTACTCAACCTCTCTGCCTTCCTTTCTTCTTCTGTAAATGAATATGAAAACTATTTCAGAAGAGAGGTGTAAAGATTAAATACTTGTAAGAAGCCTATCTCACACCACGGTGGTAGTAATATAACAGTTGGTGCTCAATTAATTTCCCTCTTCCTTTCTCAAGTGACCATTCAGAAGCCCCGTGCATTCTTTTTCTTAATCCTTAGCAGAGGATATTTTTCCATTGATTTTTTAGATAGCATGGGAGGGAGGGGGAGAAAGAGAAACATCAACGTGAGAGAAACACATCAATTGGCTACCTTCCATACCACCTCTACCAGGACCAGGGATTGAACCCGCAACTAAGGAATATACCCTTGACTAGGAATTGAACCCGAGACACTTTGGTCCATGGGCCGGCGCTCTAACAGCTGAGCCAAACTAGCTAGGGCAAGCCCTATGCATTTTGAACTGAATTCCTAGCTGCAAACTATTCAAAGTAAAAAACATTATAGTTGATTCATATTCTTCAACATGAAATGAACCTTTAAAAGGTCCTAGTGTCTAAATGATTTGAAACAATATTATTTCAATAGGTTCAATAAAGCTCTCTTAGAATTTCTTACATTCCATGGACCAGTTAGCTTTGTCTTTAAATGCATTTACAAGTATTGGTTTAAAATCAAGAAGTCAAACGGAAATAAAACTGAGCCTCTTAATTCAGGCATATAATATAACTAAACAGCCTGCAGTACCACAAAGTCAGCAAAGTAAACACTGGAAAGAGATAGTTGGCCTTGTTGTCTCTGTTAAACATGTCAAAGTACAGCATCTAAAAATATTTGAAAAATCTGCCTAATTTCCATCTGTTATATTTCTCAGAGGATAACTAAAAGTTCATGTGAAAGTTCATGGTAAGTTCAAATATGTCATATCAGGGCATTTACAGGGTAAAGGTTCACTAGGAGTTTATTATTATTATTTTAAGACTGAAGTGGAAAAAGAATAAATATACTAATTGAAGTTATTTTATATTGCATTATGACCACCGCATTTTTAAGTGCCATAAATACAAATTATAAATTTTAAAAGGCCATGTGCAATACCTAATGGCAACAATGATGATTATAAGGAAGATGCCTAAGGTAGCAGCCTTGAGACGGTTCTTAGAGAAGAAGCAGATCAATTTTGGTTGTTCTTGATATTATTTAAAGAACAAGTTGTCACAATTTACGTGGTATTGAATACTTAGTTTAAACTGCATATTTAGAAACAGTGATATAGAGACATAGACAAAAGAGAGGAACATCAGAAATAATAAATGAATACAGGCATACCTCAATTTCCTATGCTTCCCAAAGAGGTGTTTTTTACAAACTGAAGGTTTGTGGCAACCCTGTGCCCAGCAAGTCTATGGGTGCCTTTTTCCCAAAAGCATTTGCTCACTTCCTTTATCTGTGGCACATTTTGGCAATACTCACCATATTTCAAAGTCTTTCACTATTATTATATTTGTTATGGTGATCTCTGATAAGTGATCTTTGAGTTACTACTGTAATTGCCTGGGGGAGCCACAAACCATGCCCATATAACATAGTGAACCTAATAAATGTGTATGCTCTGACTGCTCCACTGAAAGGCTGTCCCCATCCCTCTCCCACTTCTGAGATCCCCCTAATCCCTGAGACACAAAAATATTGAAATTAGGCCAATCAGTAGCCTTACAACGGCCTCTAAGTGTTCAAGTGAAAAGAAGAGTTGCAGGTCTCTCACTTTAAATCAAAAACTAGAAATGATTAAGCTTAGTGAAGAAGGCATGTCAAAAGCTGAGACAGGGTGAAAACTAGGCCTCTTATGCCAAAGAACCAGATTGTTAATGCAAAGGAAAAGTTCTTGAAGGAAATGAACACACGACTGATAAGAAAGTGAAAGTTTTTGTGTGTATGTGTTTTTTTTGCTGATATGGAGAGAGCTTCAGTGGTTTGGATAGAAGATCAAAGAAACCATAACATTCCCTTAAGTGAAATCCTAATCCAGAGTAAGGCCTTGACTTTCTTCATTTCTATGAAGGCTGAGAGAGGTGAGGAAGCTGCAGGAGAAAAGTTTGAAGCTAGCAGAGGTGGGTGCATGAGGTTTAAGGAAAGACGCCATCTCCATTACATAAAGGTTCAAAGTGAAGCAGCAAGTGCTGATATAGAAGGTGCAGCAAGGTATCCAGAAGATCTAAGATAATTCATGAAAGTGGCTTGGCTACACTAAACAACAGATTTTCAAAGTAGACAGAACAGGCCTCTTTTGGAAGAAGATGCCATCTGTGACTGTCATGCCTGCCTTTAACTTCAAAGGACAGGCTGACTCTCTTGTTAGGCACTAATGCAACTTGTGACTTTAATTAAAAGCCAGTGCTCATTTACCATTCAGAAAATCCTAGGGCCCTTAAGAATTAGGCTAAACCTACTCCTCCTGTGCTTTATATGTGAAATAACAAAGCCAGGAAGACAGTACCTCTGTTTACAAAATAGTTTACCGAATATTTTAAGCCCACTGTTGAGACCTAATGCTCACAAAATAAAGATTCCTTTCAAAATACAACTGCTCATTGACAATGTACCTGATCACCCAAGAGCTCTGAGGGAGATGTACAAAGAGATTAATATTGATCCTGGCTGGATAATTCAATTGGTTAGAGCATTGTCCCAATACACCAAGTTGCTTTCAATCCACAGTCAAGGCACATATAAGAATCAACCAATGGCCCTGGCCAGTTTGGCTCAGTGGTCGGAGAGAGAGAGCTGGGTTCGGTTCCCGCTGGGGGCACGTACCTCAGTTGCAGTTTGTCCATGGCCCTGGTTGGTTGTGCAGGTGGCGGCCACTCAATGTGTCCCTTTCACGTCGATGTTTCTCTCTCTCTGTTCCTCTCTCTCCCTCCCACTCTACCTGAACAGAAAATGGAAAAATGTCCTCGGGTGAGGATGATAAAAAAAAAAAAAAAAAAAGAATCAACCAATGAATGCATAAAAAAAGTGGAACAATAAATCAATGTCTCTCTCCCACCCCCAACCCCTCTCTCTAAAAAAAAAACGAATAATGTTGTTTTCATGCCTGCTAACATATCATCCATTACTCAGGCCATGGATCAAAAGTAATTTCAACTTTCAAGTCTTGCTTAAAAAATACATTTCATACAGCTGTCATAGATAGTGATAGATCTGCATAAAGTACATTGAAAACCTTTTGGAGAGATTCACCATTTTCTTTTCTTTTTTTAAAAATATGTTTTTATTGATTTTTTTTTTTTTAGAGAGAAAGGAAGGGAGCGATGGAAATATCAATGTGAGAGAGATACATCAATCAGCTGCCTTCTGCACACCCCTTACTGGGGATTGAGCCCACAACCTGGGCATACGCCCTGAATGGGAATCGAACCAGGACCTCTCAGTCCATGGGACGATGCTCAATCCACTGAGCCATACCGGCTGGGCAGGTTCACCATTTTCAATGCCATTAAGAACATTCCTGATTCATGGGAAGAGGTCAAAATATCAACATTAACAGGAATTTGGAAGAAACTGTTTCCAACACTCACGGATGACTTTGAGGGATTCAAGACTTCAGTGGAGGAAATAACTACAGATGTGGTGGAAATAGAAAGAGAACTAGAGTTAGAAGTGGAGCCTGAAGCTATGGCTGAATTGCTGCAAACTCATGAGAAAGCCTAAATGGATAAGGAGTTGCTTCTTGTGGATGAGCAAAGAAAGTGGTTTCTTTTTCTCTCTCTTTTTTTTTTATCCTCACCCGAGGATATTTTTCCATTTTTGTTCAGATAGAGTGGGAGGGAGAGAGAGAGAGTGAAACATTAACGTGAAAGGGACACATCGAGTGGCTGCCTCCCACACGACCCAACCAGGGCCGGGGACAAACTGCAACCAAGATACGTGTCCTTAGCGGGAACCGAACCCGGGTCTCTCTGGACCGCAGGCTGAGGAAGAAAGTGGTTTCTTGAGATGGAATTTACTCCCTGTGAAGATTGTTGAAATGACAACAAAGGATTCAGAATCCTACATAAGCTTAGTTGGTAAAGCTGTGGCAGGGTTTGAGAGCACTGACTCCAATTTAGAAAGAAGTTCTCCTGTGGGTAAAATGCTATCAAACAGCATTGAATGCTACAGAGAAATCATTTCTGAAAGGAAGAGTCAATTGATGCAGAAAATGTGATTGTTGCTTTATTGTAAGGAATCACCACAGCCACCCCAGCCTTCAGCAACCACTTACATCGAGGCAGGACCCTCCACCAGCGAAATAATTATGTCTTGCTGAAGGCTCAGATGACAGTTAACATTTTTTAGCAATAAAGCATTTTTAAGTTAAGGTGTATACATTGTTTTTAAAGATATAGTGCTGTTGCACACTTATGGACTACAGTATGATGTAAACATAACTTTTATATGCACTGGAAACCAAAAAATGTATGACTCACTTTATTGCTATATTCACTTTACTGCGGTGGCCTGCAAACAAACCTGCAATATCTCTGAGGTATGCCTGCATCATCTTACTGCTTAGCTAAATAGAGATGGGTTTTAGTTTGCAATCGCTAAGAATGCTATTTAAGGTACACGATTTGTAGGCTACTTACGGCAAATGTAGGAAGCCAAGTGAAATATGTTTCATTTGGAATAAAATTGCTAAATCACTGAAAAAAGGAATCTAAATGGAACAAACATTAGAATTTCTTCTGGGTAAAACCTTTATATTTTTTGAAAATTTTAGAAGAATAACAATGAACATATACACAAAATTTAGGGCATAATTTCTGGGTTCACAGATTAAAACATTTTCTTTCTATAAAGTACTGGCAAGTATTTCAAGTTCAACAAAGCATCCTAAATAAATTGGGTAAAGATGCATTGCAGTGATTTTCACTTTCTCCTGTCCTCAGCTTCACATAACTTTAAGTGTATAATTTGCTTCTTAAATGGAAAAGCAGATTTGTTTCTATCTAGCATATCTATATTCTCTTTATGATATATTGTCAATTGGCTTTAATTGAACATAGCATTTATTTATTTATTTGCAAGGTGCTGTAGTAGGAATATAAAAGACACAGAAATTAACCAGAAAAAATTATTTTTTCAAAAAGTCTACAATGTAGTAGAAGACATATGAAATAAAAACAATCTATAGCCCTGGCCGGTTTGGCTCAGCAGTTAGAGCATTGGCCCAAGGACCAATGAGTGGCAGGTTCAATTCCAGTCAAGGGCACATACCTCAGTTGAGGTTTATCCTTGACCCTGGTCATGGTCATGCAGGAGGCAGCCAGTCGTGTGTCTCTCTTATATTGATGTTTCTCTCTTTCTCCCTCCCTCCCATTCTATCTGAAGATAAATAGAAAAATATACTTGGGTGATGATTAAAATTAATAATAATATAAATAAAAACAGTATATAAATAAGTAAATAACACCAGGTTGGAATCATTCAGCACCATGTGAAAGATACAGATAAAATGATTTGAAAGTTCATAGAAAACAAATCTTGGACTTAATTATTAGCTAAATGCTTAACTAAGACACTATTTTTATTTTTATTATTATTATTTTTTTTTAATCCTCACCCGAGGACATTTTTCCATTTTTGGTACAGGTAGAGTGGGAGGGAGAGACAGACAGAAACATCGACGTGAAGGGACACATCGAGTGGCTGCCACCCGCACGACCAACCAGGGCCGGGGACAAACTGCAACCAAAGTACGTGCCCTTAGCGGGAACCGAACCCGGGTCTCTCCAGACCGCAGGCCGACGCTCTAACCGCTGAGCCAAACTGGCCAGGGCACTATTTTTATTTTTTGACAAATTGTTAAAAGTGCTAAAAGTTAAAAAAAAATCTGTTCCCACTTCATTCCAACTACATTCTAATATATGCCATTGGTTACATTAGAATTGTCAAGTTATCTCATTTGGCTTAGAAAAAATGGTGTTGGATTTGAAAACAATTATAACACATTATGTTAAAAACTTCTGGAAAGAAAGGGAGAGAGTGTAATTTAAAAGCAAAACCATATTTGTCACTGACCTGGAATTTCAGTAATAGAGACCTGAGAAAAGTCACAAGTCACGTCAGGTAAGAGAAAATGCTGAGGATCGTCAATTTCATACACCAGCTGCTCGGCCACCGTGCCGAAGGAGACCAATCCCCCCGTGCCAGGGGGCTTGGAGAGGATGAACTGTCCATCAGCAAAACACTCCAGGACGGGAAATCCTATATTGTGCCTGGGGAAAAATCAGGGAACGGTATGGTTCAAAACAGCCAGAAAGAAAACCTCAGGAAAAGATACATCATACCAAACAATATTTTCGATGAATAACAATAATCCAAAGCTGTGTCTTTTATATATTATATTACCTTTTAAAAACATACAATGGCTTATTAATGTGCAATAAGTACTGCATATGGATGATGTCTGGGAGCTAAATGGAAGAATATTTAGTATAGAAATTCAGGTACTGTTTTTCAGAAAGTTTGGAAATGGTCTCTAGCTCCTCTTGGGAAAGTATTGAGAACCCTGCTGGATGGAGTGTGACATTCAAGAATAAGAAGTCAGGGGGAACGAGACTGCAAGATCTGTGATGTCTAATGAGGGCTGCACATCACGAGATTCCTGTGCTGTCAAACTTCTCTGGTCCCTAGTGCGTCTCAGAGTGAGCAGGGCTCACTCCACTGGTGATCGGCTGGGCTCCCCCTCCCTTCACTTCATTATAAACCCAAGCTGGTGAAACTTGGGCCTTCGCTTTCAAAAAACCATTTATTTATAAAGTTGATCTTTTGTTAACTAAGAAACATAAGATAATTAGAAGATAAACTAAAAGGGAATATAGGGTAATTAGGAGTTATAGCCTGTAACCCTAGTTTGGTTCTGAAATGGTCATTTAGTAATGTTCAAAATAGTTTTTTTAAGATTTTTCCACGGACTGTGAGAGAGTGGGAAAGGGGAGAATGAGAGAAAGAGAGAGAGAGAAAGAGAGAGAAAACATTGACCTGACCCGGAATCAGAATGGCAACCCTTCAGTGCACAGGACAACACCCAACAAACTGAGGCACACTGGCCAGGGCAACATGATCATTTTTAATAATAAGAAAAAGACTCCTCTTTGCTTTGACTCTGGAGAAAAGGGGCTGGGGACTGAGTGAAAAAGGGGGAGACCATAATATAATTTTAAAAGTCAAAGTGACAAGCTCATAGTGAAAAAAATAATGAAAACTAATGCATTTTATTTCAGTATTTCTCAAATATACTGACACACAATAAAACAAAATCTAGTCAAATGAATCACTTTCTCAGAGGAAAAGACATTATCACAAAAATGTCAATTCTACCAAATTGATTATATACTCAAAAAGAAAATCCTATGATTATTCCCTCCCTTGGATAAAATTATCTTAAGGTTCATGCGGAAGAATAATTGCCAAAGAACAGCAAAGAAAACTCTTTAAAAGCTGGTGGTGGAGGAGAGAGAAAGGACTTGGCTTGTCAGATGCCAGAACATTTTATCATTACCAAAGTGTGAATATTTGTATATGCATTTACATCCATATATGGCCACCGGAGGGTTAACGAAAAGCAGGGAAGAATATACGTTAGATCAGTGACATGGTTACATGGGCAGAAGTGATGATGATAAGTGGGAGATGATGAGCAGGAAGAGAGGAGTCAGAAAAAAAAGTGTCAAAGGCTGCACCGGTGACTGAGGAAAGGGGCTGGGGACTGAGTGAAAACGGGGGAGGGATGGAGAAGTACAGATTGGTGGTTACAGAACAGTCCTGGGGATGTAAAGTACAGCCTAGGGAATATAGTCGATAATACTGTAATAACTTTGTGCAGTGCCGGGTAGGTGCTGGACATACCAAGGGGGCCACTCCGTAAAGTATGTGATTGTCTAACCCCTATGCCATATACCTGAAAAAAAAAGTACATTATGAAGAGCAGGAAAGATGACCTGTGATAAATATCACAGTAAGCATTAACTTACGGTGATAAATATTTTACATGTATATAAACTACATTTTTATCTGTTAGAAAAGGAAAAAAGATACTTCTGAGTATGATTGTTTACAAGAGCGTTTACAACCTAGCTGAACTGAGAAGACGAAGATCACAAAATCTAGGTCAGAATGATGGAAAGATGAGGAAGTGGTTGACAAGTGGTTGTCCTGCGGGGCAGAGCACACCCTGTCTGCCATGACCACTTTCTCTCACTGGGCGGCACTCTTGAACCACAGCTTCCCATCTTAGAACCTACTTGCTTCCTCCCACTATCTCTGAATTTGATGGATAAGAACCTAAACAACACTCTCTCCACTACCCTTAACTCTCCCGTCCTTGGTCCTTGCCTCCCTAGACCGATTCTCCCCTTGCTGCTCTCGCACACTCCAAGCCCCATATCCCAAGACTCCAACCATCAACTCTCACTGAACGTCAAGATCTTGATGTCTTTTCCTCACATGCCTCTAAGCGAGTTTCAATTGCTTATATGTCCCACAGATAGCAAAAACAAAATGAGACACTACTCTGCCTCTGTTACTACCTTACTCTTACCCCCACTACCATCACCACTACTGATGCTTCGCTACTTTTAGGATGGTCATTATCACTGTTTCTACCGAGGACCATTTACTTAAGTGTTTACCGTATGTCAGGCGCTGGACTCAGCCCTAACCAACAGCAACTGCTTATTGTGATCTTTACAAAAACCCTCTGAGCACATGTTATTATCCTTATTTTATACTTAGGGAACTCGACAAGACTCAGGACTGCATCATTATAACTGAGATATGTATCACGTGTTCAGAAAAAACCAAAGCACGCTTCTATTCTTGTGTTAAAGAGACATCTTTTATTAGTCTACAAATATTTGATGAGCATCGAAGTGCAAAACAATAAAATAAAAAGGAACATTTTAATAAAGACTTGCTATATGTCAGTCATAATAATGCAATGATGGTAGATATTACCATTATCCTTATTCTGCCAATGGATGAACTGAGGCACATAAAGGCTGAATAACTTGTCCTATTTCATGGAGTAGGAAGTAGTAGAACCAGGACTCCAGGCAATGTGTTAGAGGTTATGCTCTTTAATTGCTATTCTGGACTAAAAGATGCATCTGATAAATCTGCAGGAATGCAAAGATCTGTGTCTTTAAATAGTTTACAATCTAGTTGAACATACAAGACCCAGGTGATGAAATCTAGGATCTCAGATTTCTGACACTTGGATGATCTGTTGCAGAGTAGGAGAGCTGTGCCACTGGACGCAAGAGGCATGGACGCCAGTTAGAGGGCTATAAAACAGTTTTCAGAACTGAGATAAGAAAACCACAAATGTGGATGAATATGAAACAAAGAAAGTGAAAGATATTATGGATTGAACACTGACCTTACTGGAAATTGATGGGATAAAGGAAGACTGTGGAAGAGGAAAAAAGATCACCTGTGACTAGATCAGTGGGAAACTGACCATATCACAGTCAAAATGTACAAATCTTCAATACAGGCCGATGAGTTTAAAGAAAGAATAAAATTATAAACAAAAACAAATCTATTCCAATATTCCTAGTGGAGTTGTGATACAGGGCAGTAGATGTGGATCTGGGAGTCATCTGCTCCCATGTAAGTGTCAACACTGTAAAAGCAGATGAGCATTCTGAGGGAGAGAAGTCAGACCTATAAGAGTAAAGGGCAGAGGACACATTTCTCATCAGTGCCAGAGTCTCCTGTTTCATTGCTTCCCACTAGTCTGGTACCATATGACAGCCTAGGGAGAGGAGAAGAAATCGTTAGAAAGAAGAGTGAGCAGCACCTGCCTGGCTCTAGACAAGGGTAAAGGAAGAGTGGACAAGAGATTGCCACTGTTTAGATGGACAGGGGTCTGCAAAGTCATCGACAGATTCCTAATTTACACTGGAGGCAAAGGCCCATGCAGGGCAAACTTCTTAGTAAATATGTTGGCTCATGTTGTAAGAACTTCTTAGAGTTGAGATCAAGAGACATCTAACAACAAGCCCTGGATACAGTAGAATGATAGAAAAAGTAATTTACCAGTATGTCCTGAAATTTCAAGGTTCCAGTATATTTAGTGTATTTAGTCCTAAAAGAGACTCTGTTTCTATTTTAGGTAGTTATTAGTTTCCTAGGGCTGCCATACAAAGTACCAAAAGCTGGATGGCTGGAAGCAACAGAAATGCATTAAATTGCAAAATCCTATCTTCTATAACCAAGAACACTTAAGAGTAAATGGTTTGTACTTCTCCCCAACCAGAGAATAAATAGCTTAAATCCTCCTCCTCAGGGAGATAGATAGCAGAAATCCCAATTAGTACCATTTGCCAACCACACCCAAGGACAGATGAAGTCAAAAGAAATAAGTCTTATTTTGGCACATCAGCATAAAGCTGATGAATATCCTACTGTATCTCGGTTCTGGAGACAAGAAGTTTGAGACCAAGGTGCCCACCAGGAGAGTGATGCTCGACTGGCGGCTCGAGGGGAGAATCCTTCCTTGTCCTTTTCCTAGTTCCCGTGTTCCTTGGTTTGTAGATTCTCCAATTCTGCCTTCATAGGGTCTTTCTTCACATTGTTTTCCCTCTGTATGTGTCTTTCACTACATCCAAATTTCTACTATTTATAAGAACAAAAGTCCTATTGGATTAAGGCCCACCCTAATGATCTCACTTTCACTGTGAAGACTCCATTTCCCAATGAGGTAACATTCTAAGGTACTGGGGGTTAGAACTGCAACATATCTTTAGGGGGCACAATTCAACCCAAAATAGGTACAAAGCTCAGCCTAATAATAAACTAAAGACTATAATAAAATATTGCATATTATTTTAGGGAAGTGTGATTTTTAACACACTCAAAGGAATTCTCCTGAAACTTAGCTCTGGATCGTAATAAGATAATGAAGGCTAGGATATAAAATTTGTCTGTGTTTCACAATACAAATAAAACACAATATACCTTACAAATAAAAAAACACAAAATGTTAAATAGCAATAATTACAATAATAAACAGGAACTAAAATTTCTAAGTGTAGATATTACATGCCATGCTATAACGTTTGTATATACAAAATACAGCTTCCTACCAGTCTGGCACCAAATGCCAATCTGTGAATAGTCCACCAGTACTCTGGGCACCACACTCAATGAGATGGCCTGCAAGGCTACCAAGCAAACAAAAAAACAGCATTAATACAGTTAGCAAAATTTTCGATACCTGCCCAAATACAAAATCATGTTACAAATAAAACTTTATTTTTAAAGGTATTGTCATAAGAGTGGGGAAAAACTTGGTAACTTTACAGGGGTGCCATTTTGGTTTTTGTTTGCTTTAATGAAGTAGGCTAATGATGCAGAAAGGCCAGCTTGGAATAACAGAAATTGGCCTAGGTCTAGAATCTCAGGAACCTAGGCCAAGTGACAGACTTTGATCAAAACGGGGCGAATGCATGACTGGTAAGGTTGTGAAAACTGAGACAAAAGCATGTGAAAGCACCATGAAAAGTGTAGAGCTTCCAAATGTAAGTTATTACCAGGCTTGAAGTGTGACGTTAAATTGTCATTATAGCCCTGGCCGGTTTGGCTCAGCGGTTAGAGCATCGGCCTGCGGTCCTGAGAGACCCGGGTTCGGTTCCCACTAAGGGCATGTACCTCGGTTGCAGTTTGCCCCTGGCCCTGGTTGGTTGTGCGGGTGGCAGCCACTTGATGTGTCCCTTTCACATCGATGTTTCTCTCTCTCTCTCTCTGTTCCTCTCTCTCCCTCCCACTCTACCTGAACAAAAAATGGAAAAATGTCCTTGGGTGAGGATAAAAAAAAAAAAAATTGTCATTATATTATAGGAAAGGGGAGAAAATGTGTAAAATATTACCGTCCTATTTGATACATTCACAGACTGAAACTTATCAATAAATCTATTATTAAAATTTCGTCTTCAAAAATCTGAAAGATCTGAAGCTCTTTATGGAGTGGACAACATTAATGATAAAACATTCTGGGTTTTAGTTATTTGGCCTGTGCGAATTCAGGCTCCATCATGTAACTAGCTGTGACTTTGGACAACTCCTACTGTTTATCCATTCCCTCATCTCTCCAATGGGGATAATAACATCTGCCTAATAAGTAAATTATGAGAATAAAAAATTATTTTGTGAAGTGCCTATTACATAGTAGGCACTCAAACGATGGTTACTTTGTTTCATAAAATTCCTCCAATCTATAGAAGACTTCTTTCTTTAGCCTTGAAGCTCTGCAATATTAAATAATTACAATTATGTTCAGTTTAAAATGTTTTTAAGATGACCTACCGGACACAAATATTTAATTTCTAAAAAGCCTAAGTAAATTTTACTGTAATGTAGTTAAAATATTAAAATTACTACTAATATTATTATTAGACTTACCTCCCAGCAGCTAATAAATCAAAGTCATTGCTTTTCCAACCAAACTACAAGAAAAAAACCCACAAAAATTATTTTAGTTATAATTCATCCAGTTAGATATAGAATCTTTACACAGTATGTTTTAAAATAAAGTAATTAATTCCATACTTGATCAAAAGTACAATTCAAGATTACTGCATAGATTCAAATATAAAATTATATGGAGAAACTACCATAAAAACTTGAAGTAGAATTTTACTCTGGATGAGATGGAATAACCTGGACTAAATTTAAACTACTGCCTGGAACAACAAAAAAGCCAGATAACATATATGAAACAATAGTTTTTAAGACATTGGACAGCAGGCAACGCAAACCAGTGATCCCTAAGCAAGGCGAAACAAATGAGACGAGCCTACGACTGAGTTCCAGGCCCAGTGCTGGGAGGGGGAATCCACATGGAATCTGGCAGATTCCCTGAGTTTAGGAGCTGAGAGTCTAGGGAGACCAAGATGACTAGGGTTTGCAGGATAGATCACCACATAGAGACAACTGTACAGATAGAGAACTGCAGAGATCTTAACAGGGTCCCTTTCAAGTATTCAGCCAAGAACTAGCCAGCACATGGGTAGGAGGAAGCTACCTTAGTCTGGGAATAGTGCCTATTGACACTAGGCAGACTGAAAATCTCATAATTCATAGGAAAATAGGCAGAGCGTTCAGAAAAGCCTTGAGGCAATCATGGAAAATAGTTAGTCCTAGACTAAATGCTGCTCTGGTCCTATTTAACAAATTATTATTCTATTCTATTCTATTCTATTCTATTCTATTCTATTCTATTCTATTCTATTCTATTCTATTCTATTCTATTCCTTTTATTGAGAGAGGAAGGGAGAGAGAGAAACAATGTGAGAGAGAAACGTCACTCGGCTGCCTCCTGTATGACCTCTACTGGCGATCAAGCCTGCACCTGGGCATGTGCCCTGACCAGGAATCAAATCAGGACCTCTCAGTCCATGGGATGATGTCCAATCCACTGAGCCATACTGGCCAGGCTGTTTAACAAATCTTAAAAGCAAGACCAAAAAGGATCAAACAATTACAAAATAAATGATCACATTCCAAGATAAAGGTAACAAATATTTACAGGAATATAAAAATACAAGGTAAAATTCACAATGTATAATAGCCAATCAAAAATTACCAGACAAGAAAAAAGCGGGGGAGGCAGGAAAATGTGACCCACGTTGAAAGAAAGATCTATTAATTGAAACAGACCCATATCCTATACAGATGGTAAAATTAGCAGACATTAAAATATACTTAGACATTACTATAATTGTACCTTATATGTTAAAAAAATAAATAAAACAGATCCAAATCCAGAGCACAACAAAGATCCAACTCTGAACTTCTAAAAATAACAACTACACGTTTGGGATGAAAAATAAAAACCACCCACTGATTGTGATAATGGCAAATTAGACACTGAAGAAAGAAGATTATTTAATATGAAGACATAGCAATAGAAACTAATCAAAAGTTTCATGGCAAGAAAACAGAATATATAAAATAAAGAGAGCATCAGGGATCCCTTGGAGAACTGTAAGTGACATGATATATGTGTAATTAGAGCTCCAGAGGAGGAAAAGGGACATAAAAATATATTTGAAGAAATAAAAGCTAACACATTTTTAAATTGGATGAAACTATAAATTCACAGATGCATAAGGATCAAAAACACCAAACACAAGGAACATTTTTTAAAAAGGCAGATCATAATAAAAGTGCTCAACAACAGGGATAGAGAAAATCTGAAAAAGCAGACAACAAAAGAAAGACATGATACAGAGAGAGATATAAAGATAAATATGACAGCAAATTTCTCATCAGAAGCAATGCTGAGAAAGCAGTAGAGTGACAACTCTACTGAAAGAAAAAAACCTGTCAACCTTGAATTCTATACTCAGGGAAAATATCTTTCAAAAACAATAGTGACATAAAGGCTTCTCCAGACATACAAAAGCTGAAAGAATCATCACCAGCAGACTTATATCATAACACTAAATGTTAAATGAGAGATCTTTAGGCAGAAGGAAAATGATTCTAGGTGGAAATATTGACCCACACAGGAGACTGAAGAGTACCAGAATTGTGAACTACAGTAAATGGATAAATATACAAGAGTTTTTATTAGCATTTAAAGCATTTTACATGATTTATTATTATAATAACAATAAAATATAAGTAACAATAAATTAGAATAATACTAAATCAAACAACGGTATTGTTGGGTTTATAACATACGTAGAAGTAAACTGTATGAAAACAAAAGCACAGAAGAAAGGAGGGGTAAAATAGAAGTATATAATTGTAAAGTTCTTCTACTCTATGTGAAATAGTATAGTATCACTAGATAATAGACTGACTGCAACATTAAAGATTTATACAACAAACTTTAAAGCCATTGTTAAAATAATAAAACAAAGAGTTACAGCTAATAAGGCAGTAAGTGACATAAAATGAAAACAACCTTAATCTCAAACAAGGCAGAAAATAGGAAACAAAGAATAAGATGAAAAAAAAGAGAAAATAAATAGCAAGATGACAGATTTAAACCTAACTATATCAATAGTCACATTAAAGTAAATGACCTAAAGATCCTAATTAAAGGGCAGAGATGATAAGATTATATAAAAAAGTAAGACTTAAAAGAAAATGGGCATGGCTATCTTAGTATCAGACAGGGTAGATTGCACAGCAAAGACTACTACTGGGAATAAAAAAAGTCATTTAAATGATAAAGAGGTCACTTCATTAGAAAGACATAATTATGTAAATGTAATTGTGATGAATAGAAGTTCACTCGGTAATGCTTCCTAGGCCCATTCAGAATGTGCAGAGAGGGGAATAAGTAGGGATAAATAACAGAACAGCATAACGTTAAAAAGTTCCCTGCCCCAAGATTTTATTGGCATAAGGGAGAGAAGAAATAGTCTGTTGAGGATCCCTAATTCAAGAAAATATAAAAGCTGAAATTTCAGTTAGATACAGGATCAGATACAAATCAACTCTGTAAAAAGTGGTTCTTTCATCCTCTTATGTCCCTAAATTTACACACACACACACACACACACACACACACAATGTTCACTAATGTGATGCTTTTAAAGCAAACCACCTGTCAGGCTCTCTCGTTATAAGAACATATACAGTATAATATTTGGATTGTTAAATAAAAATCCTGTCTAGTTTTTTTTAATTCAAACTAATTTTTTAAATGTCAGACTAAACCTAAATATTTTTCCAGTTATAACTCACAAAAAAAAAAACAAACAAACAGATGAGCAGAGGAAAAATTGCTCATTAACTTGTCACAAATAAATAGAAATGTATTAGTGCCACCCTGTGGTAACCTCACACCTTACAACATTTTCTACAAATAAAGAGGCTACATTTACTGAGTTTAACTGTCTTCGTTTAAAAATTCAGTTTTTACCTTGCAAATATTCTTCTAGTGAGCTGACTGTGTTTTTAATTCATTAACACTTAAAGCCAAAAGAATTTATCTTAAAGAAATAATCAAAAAAAGGCACAAAGGTTTGTTACAAATATCTACTGTTTGCTTATTTAAAATAGTGAAATAATGGAGGGAACACATATGTCCAATTCCAAGTTGGTTGGATCATTTGTACCTTATGTATTAGGATACTATACTGGCATTTTCTTGCTTTTAATGTTTGTTAGTGCTTCTTGATTTGTGGTCAAGTATAACCAAGACCACCAGAGGCCTCTGTCCCCTGGGTCCTGCCTACTTCTCTAAGGCTCGCCTCCCACCATCCTTTCTCTCCATCCACCATCCGGGACTTCTCAGGCCCTGCATTCCTCCACCAAGTGCTTCGGGCCCTGGCATGTGCAGTGTAATGTCTTCTACTTTGAACTCCATTTTTTTTTTTTTTTTTTAATCCTCACCCGAGGATATTTTTCCATTTTTTGTACAGATAGAGTGGGAGGGAGAGAGAGAGAGAAACATCGACGTGAAGGGACACATCGAGTGGCTGCCACCCGCACGACCGACCAGGGCCGGGGACAAACTGCAACCGAGGTACGTGCCCTTAGCGGGAACCGAACCCGGGTCTCTCCGGACCGCAGGCCGACGCTCTAACCGCTGAGCCAAACTGGCCAGGGCTGAACTCCATTTTATTCCAGAACAAATGATATTCATCCTGAAGATCTCAAATTAAATGTCACTTCCACTGATGGACCTCTTGTCCCCTTCAGAACAGAGTAGAGCCCCCCAGCTATAAATTTCCTAGGCTCTATGAACATTCCTTTCCACATGCTCATCATCTCTCTAGCAACAATGAACATGTTTGTGGGGGCCTTACAGACACTGTATTAAGTGTTTCACCTGATTCTCTTATTTAACCCTCAGAATAACCCACATGAACATGAAAATGAGAAAGCAGAGGCCTGGAGACTATGTAACTTCCCCAAGTCACACAGTTAGTAAGAGGTAATAATAAATATGGGAAGCCTCTTGAGTATACACAGGATAAAATATGCTTAAAATATTATCAAAACCGTCCAGATGGTGTGGCTCAGTGGTTGAGCATCAACCCATGCACCCAGAGGTCACCGGTTCAAGTCCAGGTGAGGGCACATTCCCAGGTTGTGGGCCTGATCCCCAGTGGGGGAGCATGCAGGAGGTGGCCAATCGATGTTCTCTCTCATCAATGTTTTTATCTCTCTCTTCCTCTCTCTAAAATCAATACAGGAAAAAAATTTTTTTTTTTTTTAATATTAGCAAAACCAAATTTACAAAGAACAGTACTTCTTGAGTGGGAGGAAGAGAAGGGAGGAAAAGATAGATCAATTTCATTAAAGCTCAGCCCTAAAGCAATAAACTGGTTGAAAAGGGAGGGAAGGAAGAGTCTGCTGGAGGAGCAGCTGGGCCCAAAGGTGCATGGATTTGAGGATCAATATGAAGGCTTTGGAGGTCGCCTCCCACAGCAGAGTGCAGACTTAAAACTGGAGAACACAACTTCAAAAAACAAAGTAATACACTGCATTGGGTCTGAATGGGTGAACAGGGTGATCCAAGAAGCCTAAAATATGGATCACTCTGTCCATATAACACGATGATTGTTTTCTCTCCATACGTGGAAAAAGAGCATCTAGTGCCCTTAAAAAGCTGGATTTCACTTGAGGATATTTTACAACAAAGAACCTCAAGCCCCTAAGGGATTAAATGGAGGCACACCAAGAACTAGGAATTTGACCAGGAAAGGGTTAATAAACCCACTTTTAGGAAAAATTACTATTAAAAAATTAATATAAGCAAAGTAGTCCCCAAATGTACAGAAGGGTCCTCAAACTCTAAAGACTTTTCTAATAACCTTAAGATTCTAAAGGACTCCAAGGTATTGAATAAAAAGGTGCAGAAGTGGTTATGCCATCCAGTTTATAAACCAGTTCCGCATGGTCATCTCTGAATAATTTGGTTAACAACAATAAACTATTCTACCATATTTTAACAACATCGTTACATAAAATTAAATATGAAATTTACTGTGTGCCTTTTGGTACACTAGACATATGAAACCTCTAACAGGAAAGCAATTTACTTATTTTTGGCTTGTTTTTAATATTTTGAAGTTAACAAATTGGCACCTGAAAACACACTTTGCAATGGCCAAAGGAAATTACATGTGTGTTGGTAAGTGAAACAAAGATAAGCTCAAGGGGACAAGCGTGTTCTCCCCACAAACTTACAGCATGAATGAGGGGTCCCAGTACGATAGCACTGTCCACGCAGCGCCCCGTCAGGACGATGTCGGCACCAAGGTCCAGGGCCCTGCTTATGGGTCTTGCTCTTGGAGAAACAGAACATCCCTGTTAATTGTTTTTAACCCAGGTCAGATGAAAGCTTTTGATGAAAACAAACAAAACTGCTTCTTATTTTGTCCAGAGACTCAAATATGCTTTAAATAATTCCAGGTATAAAATGATGTGGACAAAAACACTCTCCTAGTTACTTCCATTATTTTCTTAAAAATCGGTGTCTCCTGTGGAACTGCTTATCAAGTACTCTGTCAGCATTACACACTCTGCAATGCTGGTTCATCTGGGCATATAATTCTAGATGTCAGTCATTTCACTTCATGGGCGCTATTTCACAATCTCCTGGTGTCCAATGTACTGTTGGGAGGTATATTACTCTAATTATCGGGGTTTGTGTATTGCCTTTCTCTTTGGATGCTCTTACAATCTCAGTTTTTAGTTTTAGACAGTTGCACTGTTATATCTTTTTGTTTAACCTGCTTGGGATTGACTCTCCTTCTTGCCCCTATGGATAAATATGTTTCATCAACCATTGTCTAATAAGTCATTCTCAGCCATTGTCTCTGGACATTGCTTCCCCCCCCCCCTTATATTCTCTTCTAGCACCTGTAATTGGATAGAACGTTAGACCTCATAACTGTATCCACAAAGCTCTAATTTCCCTTTCATTTTCCATCCCCCTTTTTTTTTTTAATCCTCACCCAAGGACATTTTTTGATATTTTGCTCAGATAGAGTGGGAGGGAGAGAGAAAGAAACAGACGTGAAAGGGACACATAGAGTGGTTGCCACCCACACGACCCAACCAGGGCTAGGGACAAACTGCAACCGAGGTTCGCACCCCTAGCAGGGACCGAACCCGGGTCTCTCTGGACCGCAGGCTGACACTCTAACCGCTGAGCCAAACCAGCCAGGGTCATTTTCCATCTCTTTAATCTGGGCTGCATTCTCAGTAATTCTCTCAGATCCATTTTCCAATTCATCTTCCAGTAACTGCATCTAGTCTGCTGTTTAATCTAGTCATTGAGTTTTTATTTCAATGACCATGTGTTTGATTAATAAAGTTCATTTGGTTTCCATTCAAATCCATCTAGGCCTTTGAAAGCTTGTTCCCTGCTCCGGTTTTTATTCCTTCTTTATGTCTTTAAACATCTTTACCGTGCTTACTCCATTCTACATCGAAATCTTCCAATTTATAAATTCTGTGGACATTTACATTTGTTTTGAAATTTCAGATTATAAACTCCTATTAAGTTTGGTGAGGCTTTATCTGTGGAGCAGCCTCTTTTGAGGGAACATCTGGATTTGCATTTGCTTCTGCCAGATGTGCTAGGGATACTAGCAGCCATAAACTTCTTTAAGTAAATTACTAAATAAATTACTTGGATTGTGGTTGTCCTCAACTATGAATGTATTATATATCTGAACACCAACCTGTGTGAAGGCAGGTCTGTGATCAGATTCTCGGTCTGTGATCAGACTGTTTCCCCACAAAGAACCCTAGGCCAAGGCAGATAAGTTTCCTTTTCCTTCCTTTCTTCCTTCTTTTCTTTCCTCTCCTCTCCCCTCCCCTCCCCTCCCCTCCCTCCCTCCCTCCCTTACCTTCCCTCTTTTCTCTCCTCCCCTTCCCATCCTCCCTTTCTTTCTTTTCCTTTTAAAAAGCATTTAAAGGTTCTGTTCTCAAGAAATACTATGTCCGCTTATTTCTGATGCCATTTTATTTATCAGCTCATCACCATTAGTTTGAAGGAGCTCTTACATTTAAAATGAAGTAAACTGTTGCTTCCAGAAACATCTGCCAGTGTGCTCTCAGAAACACGCTGTTTCTGTCTTACTGCAATTCTGTAGCCCCTCTCAGCACCATCTCTCTATAACCCCCCACCATCCATGATTAGTCAACATTTCCTGTGAGCACCAACATGGTGCAGGATGCGATGGCAGGAGCCAGGGGCACAGAGGTGGAGAGGACACGGCCGGACATGCCATCTGGCTGGGGAACCAAGTGCCCGGGAGTGAACTAAGTGCCACGTGAGTTCGGAGGAGGAGCGGAAGGTCAAATTTCCATAAGACTTTGTAAAAGCTGTGGTTAAGCAGAGAGAGAATAGGGCATTTGTGTTCGGTTGTGTTAAATTGAATGGCTCTGAAAAACACCTGCAGGCCTTCTACACCACAAGCTGTGTTGCTCCGAACACTATTCTGAGCTTCTTAGCCTAAGTCAATAAGTTAGTGGGTTTGATGAGGATCCATTTCCTGAGGGCCCTCTGTGGGGGGGACCTGTGGCTGACTCGAAGCATTCAGAGATAAGAAGGAGAACCCCAGCCCACAGGAACACACAGCGTAGTGGGAGGCAGAAAAGGATCACAGCACCTGTCCCCTGAAGGTGCATGATTAGTTCCCTGAGGGCTGGGTGTCACTCAGCTGCGTGTCCCCAGCCTCCAGCACACACCTGCGGCTTGCTGGGCTCTTATAAAGAACAGAAGTAGCCCTGGCCGGTTTGGCTCAGCGGTTAGAGCGTCGGCCTGCGGTCCAGAGAGACCCGGGTTCGGTTCCCGCTGAGGGCGCGTACCTCGGTTGCAGTTTGTCCCCGGCCCTGGTCGGTCGTGCGGGTGGCAGCCACTCGATGTGTCCCTTCACGTCGATGTTTCTCTCTCTCTCTGTTCCTCTCTCTCCCTCCCACTCTACCTGAACAAAAAATGGAAAAATGTCCTCCGGTGAGGATAAAAAAAAAAAAAAAAAAAAGAAAAGAACAGAAGAACCACATACATGGAGCCCCGTCCTTCCAACCGCTTACAGCCAAAGCTTTTACCTCCCAAGGCTTAAAGATAAATTCCTCTTTCTGCTCTGCTCTCGGCTCAGCCCGGTCAGGGGGACACCACTGTGGCAGATACAGTGTCGGAGAATTCTGCCCCCTTTACTCAGGCCTGCTGTGCGCTCCGGGGGCTACGAGCTACGGCGGTTCTTCAGTCCTGCTGGTACTACTAAGAGTTTCTGCTGCTACCTGGCAGCCTGGGGAAAAGGCTTTTTAAAATATCAACCCTGGAGGCTACATGTGTCCATCCGCACCCGGAGGGATGGAAGGAAGGGGAGGAAAAAGAACATAAGAGAAAAGACCTTACCCCAGGTACACATTCATGCTCCTAACGGTGTCTGGAAACTTCTTCCCACTCTCCATATCCGTGACGGCTGATGCTTGCAGAGTCTCCTTCTATAGATATTTTACAAAAATGGTATTAAACTTTATTCACAGAGAAGTTAATTTTATTATACAAAAGGAGAATTACAGTTGTTCACAGGGAAAAGAATGCAATAATTAATAAATAATGATACAAGAATAAACTCTGTGCTTCACATACTCCCAACTATAAATCTACTTTTGCCCCTCCATATAGATGTGAAACAATAAAAACATGTACTAGCCCGGCGGGTGTGGCTCAGTGGTTGAACATCAACCAATGTACCAAGAGGTCGCCAGTTCGATTCCTGGCCAGGGCACATGGCCAGGTTGTGGGCCCGATCCCCAGTGGGGGGCGTGCAGGAGGTGGCCAGTCGATGTTCTCTCTCATTGATATTTCTCTCTCTCTCCCTCTCCCTTTCTCTCTCTCTCAAATCAATAAAGAAAAAAAAAATTTTAATTAAAAAAAAAAACTAAAAACAATCCCAAAAACGTAATAGCTAAGTACAGTCCTATACATCTCATTGAAATTAAAAAATGAATATGTATTTTAAAAGGTCTTTTGCTTCAGGTACTTTTCATACAGTATTTCATTTCTTTTTCCAAACAACCCTGCAAGGCAGGTATCACAACCAAAGTCCGTAGACAAGGAGCCTAACCAAGGACGTCCGAGCAAAGCCTCGTGGTGCAGCGTGTGGGCTCTGGGCCCTGGCCGACCTCCCAGTTCTCTGTGCTTCTCTAGGTTTCTTCATCTTTAAAGTAAGACACTGAAAGTATCAATCCCACAGGATTGGTGTAAATACGTATGTATGTAATCCTTTCTTGTTCTTACAGAGCGATATGCAGAATAAAAGGTCCTACAGCAATTTCTCTCCAGTTAAGAGTAATGCTGTGAAGCAGGTGTTACTATCATGCCTTCTATCAAGCCAAAGTTAAGAATAAAAGTTATCAATGCATTTCCTGGAAAGGCATGAGCTTTGTTTTATTTTTCCCCTATAACCATGACATGATGTACTCGGGGACTCCTGTTGCAGGCATGTCTTTCCAGGCTCAGCACCAAAGTCCTGGGGAGGGCATGGCTATAGGGTGGTCTCTACAACACCCCACCCCCTCAAAGAAAGGGGCTCAGGCAAGAGTTCTGGAAAACACGACAAAACACCTGTAAATTGTGTGAACCACCACAGCACCAGCTAGAGCTGTGTAGAGGTGGGCCCTCCTAAAAGGAACATGTGATCACTTACAGAGGCTCTAAAGGTGGGGGACACCTTCTGTCCCCCTGAGGCCATCCCAGCACCAAGTGGCCCGAAAGCCAAAGCAACTTCACCACCAAATGTTAGAGCTGGGACTGTGCCATCCTCACGTCACCGACAGGGATCTGGTGTTTTATATCTGTTACAAAACATATCTATAATACGCAACGTAACATAGGTACACACACGAAAGCATGTGATCTATTGTGACAAGTATATATAGTACATTGTGTTCCGTTACTATTACCACAGGAGTAGGCAGGGTGTTGGCTATTAAAGGTCAAACTGATATTCCCAGGCAGGGACCTGCTTCATGGTATTACTATTTCCATGTTAGTTCTCTATAAACAACTTAAAATCTCTCCAGGGCTAGTTTCCTTTCCATAAGGGAAAAATGGGTCTACAGTTTAATTCTCTTGGATAAGATTGTATGTTTTGGCCTCATGCTAATAATGTAACAACAGATTTTTTTTTTTAATCCCCACCCGAGGACACTTTTCCATTTTTTGTTCAGACAGAGTGGGAGGGAGAGAGAGAGAGAGAGAAACATCGACCGTGAAAGGGACACACCGAGTGGCTGCCACCCGCACAACCTAGCCAGGGCTGGAGACAAACTGCAACCGAGGTACGTGCCCTTAGCAGGAACTGAACCCGGGTCTCTTTGGACCGCAGGCCGACGCTCTAACTGCTGAGCCAAACCGGCCAGGGCGGGAAAACAGATTTAAAATGAAGCCATGGACAGTCATGGCAGCCAATTCCCTCATAGCAGGCAGAAGAAGGATGAAGATGAATTTCAAATATACTATTGACACAGAAATAGGACAGCTCAGCGAGGTTATCTCCACTGCAGTTTTCTCAAATCGTAAATTAACCTGCACAGACAGGACATTCAGCAGGCCTATACGACGAGGCCAAAGGCTCTAGTGACATCAAGCTCATTAGCAGATCTGTTCTGTTTACGCTCAAACAAGTAAGTCCGGGGATTTTTGTGTGTTCCCGACCTAGCACAAGTATCCAAGGACCCGCAAAAACGGCTTGTATTTCACGAGTGGGAATTTACAGGCTAGCCGTTCCACGGGAGCCAAGCTCAGCCAGAGGAAACAGCGCCAGTGACAAGCCTGATATTTGCCTGAAACATCGAGCTTGTCAAATGGAGGTGTTGATAAAAAACTATGGATTTCATTTCCCTTCCTGCTGGGACAAAGAAGGTATCGCCTGCAGCAGAATCTATCAGCTGGAGCTCAAACAATGTTAAGATCAGAAAGGCAGGTAAGGACATGTGCTAAATAACTTCACATTTTGTCAGAAGCACAGTTTCAATTGAGACTGTCAGGGTCGAAGAAGGGTCCAAAGTTATTTTAAACAGTCTGCAGTGGATCAATTAATCTTTCATACCACACACATATACGTGGTTTATAAACATAAATGGATAACCAGTCCAGGCAGCTGACACACCACATTTTCTAGACTAAAGTGATACAGATTAGAAGGAGATTTCTAGAGTTCAGTTCGAAGCGTTATACCCAAACCCAATACTTAGACCTCAGGTAAGCGATCCTGTTTATCACGCGATATGACACCTTCTTGCTTAGGAGTGTATCACAGAAATGTCAATTAACCTCTGCCAGGATGTCATCTCCAGTGACCACTGCTATCTTCAAATCAACGCCAGCCTCCCGGGCCATCTTGTCGAGGGCAGCAGCGCACGCGAGAGGGTTGGTGCCCCCAGCATTGCTGACCACACGTACGCCTGCCAGAAGAGAAACACACGGCAGTCACGTGACGCAAGTTCATTCAAAGAACCGCTTTCTCTTCCCATTGCTGTGCTGCTTTTCCCCCTTTCAGAGGCAAACGCACCAAAGGCAGTGCCATCCCTCCAGCATCCACAAGTGGCTGAAGCCGCCCCTGGATTCTGCTCACCAGCTGCTTGGCCAGCAATGGATGTGAATGGAGACGACACTGTTGGGCCCTAATGAAAGTATCTGTGGGCTATGAAAGAAATGACTAATTCTAATTTTTAAAATTCTCTGAATTTTTCTAAATAAGCCTCTAGAGAGGACTGATCCAATCAATTCATTTAAAACTCTAATCTTTCATTTGCTCTCTGACAGTGATTGGCTCAGACAGGCCGCGTGGAATGATACTCCAGAGTAGTTGAAGCGAGAGAGTCAACGTTCCCGAGTTCTGAGGTGGAGGGGCCTTCGGTGCTCAACTATTCCAGGAGTTCTTACCACTGAAAGATGCATTATCCTTTGGGGAATCTGAAAAAAATGATGGATTCTCTCCCTAGGGGGAAAGTTATTTTGCTTATAATTTCAGGGGTGTGTCAGATTCCCTGAAGCCTATCCACGGACACCAGATCCAGAAACCCTGACCCAATCCAATCACCGTATTCACAAATGAAGAAACTAAGGTGTACAGAAGCTAAGTGACTTGTTCAGGGTCATGCAGCCTGTTAGGGACAGCCGCAGAATGAAAACCCCGCGTGTCCCACTCCCTGTCTGCTGTCATCTGCCGGGTCAGCTCGGTATCTCTATGTGATCTGTGTGGGCGGTTAACAGCCATCAGACAAAATCTGCAAAGGGCTCGGAATGCTCTAAACCACTCCTATGAACTGGCCAAATAATTAAGCATAAATGATTAGAGTTTATATCTACTAATTTTTTTTCGAACTAAGTACGACATTTTTTTTTTCCTGTTTTCATCTCTTCAATCTATTCGGGTGCATCAGAATCCACTCCTGTCCTCCCCCCACCCCACCAGCACGTTCTTAAACCTCCCTCCTTCTTAGGTTCTGGTGACTGCACTATCCAGGTTCTTCCCACTCTCTTCAACAGCTCACCCTCCCCTTACATTTTAGACAAAATCCTTTGCCTCCACCATGCCTCCCCTTTCCAGGGGTTCCCAAAGCTCAACCTTACTTTCCTTCATATTCATTCCCATCCCTCCCTCCTTCAAAATCCTTCCCACCAATGGCTTCAACCAATACACTTATTGACTAAAACGCCCTCCCTCAAACCTGTTTCTATTTCCACCCTCTCATCCAAGAAGCGCTAGTGTTTTAACCTTGAGTGTACTGTGTTGTCTAACTCTGTATTTAGCACGTAGCAAGAGCAGTAGACAACTGATATTTTATGATTCCAAAATGAAAGAGAGCATGCACATAACAAATTTATCACCAATACTTAAGGTTCGAAAGAAATTTTGGTAAGTCTGACACCTTGCTTTCTTTTTGCCTTACTTTCAGGATAACTTATTTTTTTTAAAGGGGGTATAGCTCCCCCTAGTGGAAAAACAATATTTTAGAAAACAGACCCTCCTAACGTGTATTCTGAGATGCAGCAACAATAAAACGCAAGAGTGCATAATAACTACATCAGACAAACAATTATTCAAAGCTCTTCATCTTAAAGATTTCCATCTTAAAGATATTCAACAACAACATATTGTAAGGGATTTATCCTTCATAAGCAGAAATACATTTTCAGTACTTAAGAGATACTCAGTTATCCCACTTGAAGTTACCTCAGGACCCAACTGCAAAAGACTTTCTTTGTTACCCAATAAATCACAGCACTAGGATAATGAGGCCAGAGTCTTGGATACTGTTCAAGTACAGTCAGCAGCTTTCATGGGTCCTGAAGCCACAAGTTTCCATCTGACTCCAGGGGCCTCTTAATAAGATTTGCCCTGAGCCACAGAGACCCAGGGTGAGAGAGAGCGAACCAGTACAATCCTAACTCTCTGATTGGAAATCAATCCAATATGCTGGTGGATTAACACTGGCTATATTTTAAAATATTCTTTCACCTAATAACACTGCCTTCTTTCCTCAGAACCATATCAAAGTGACTAATAAAACCTTTTCGAATGTTCACTGAGTTATTTACTTTTAGTGACTACATCATATATAAATATGTTTATCTATATTATATAAATATATCAAAATATAATATATATTAAATATATAAATATATATCCTCTCTTAAAATTTGACATACAGAAAATTAATATGATTTAATGACAAACATTTTCCAAATTACCTTTTTTGTGAATGTCTTTTATATATGGAGCCATGGCAGTCTGTATAAAATCAGGAACATAGCCCAAATCCTAAAATATAAAAATAAATCTGTTATTCCTATGAAATGTATTTGGTCAACTCAAAGGCAACAGACTAATCGATCCTTTAATTATTTGCAAGGCTACATTAAATTTTAAGTAACTGTAACGTTTACGTTGTCTAGAAAGAATGAATCCCTTATGAATTTGGGAATATAATTAGTCAATGGAAAGATCTACATGATGTTCAAAATAAACTTAACTTGCATTATTACCAAAGAGATGAAATAAGGATGATGATTAAACAAATTAATCACTTCACTTTTGTGATCCATAGCAGTTTTAACTCCAAAGTTTTATTAAAAACTAAAATTGCCAAAATTATACATGTTGTCACTAATTGTCAGCATGCCCCAATTGTCAAGAGAAGCAAATGATTTCACACTTATTTGGTAGGTTACAGAAACCGATGCAAGAAACCAAAGGGTGGAGTGGAGGAAGAGTAGTTTAAAGCACCAACCAGATAATTGGTTATGTTACTATTGGTTCACTTTTACATTAATTCTACCAGGTAAAAGCAGCTGCTTACATGGAATAAACTTCACAAAGTTGATGACACAGCTACACTAAGACTTGTACGTGTTCTCTAACAAGCTGCACAATTCAAATGGTTCTCGTGTCTAATGGGCATTTCTGCTGGGATGCTTCATGCCTTGGGCTAATTTATTGGCTTTATGTGTTAAAACAAAAACAAACAAACAAAAAAAAGAAAATTAATTCACTAAAACGAACAGAAATATTTCAAAATTAGGACTACTGAGACATTTATCATATAGTATATATGATAGCATACGCAATTTTTCATATTAATAAAACTTCACAACCATAATTTTAGTGGCTACGTAAGATTTCATTGTCGGATCTCTCATCACTTAGTTAACCATTTCCTTCTTGTTGGCCACTTAGGCCTCAGTCTTCTGTGCATGTTATAAATAGGGCTACAGTCTCCATCTTCTTGAGCAAAGCTCTTCCACAGTTAGCTGTAGGGCCTTGAGATAATTCTGACTTAAGTGACAGTAAATAACCAAATGACTTACATTTTTTCTAATATAAGACCTAACTTTTTCAGGGCAGACCCAGAGATGTGGAAGTAGGGTACAGACTGACAACCCTCAGAAGAGGGGGTGGAGGGGGAGGAAAGAGATAAACCACAGAACTTATATGCATGTACGCATAACCAAAGGACATGGACAACAAAGCTGGGGACGGGGTGGGGGGGATGGGGAGGAGGATGTCAATGGGGAAAAAAGGAGAAACATCTGTAACAAAAATAAATTAATAATAAAAAAAGACCTAACATTTAAAAATTCTATAAGTCACTTAAGCAAACACTGTCTTGTGTAATTATCCTTGAAGGTATCGTTACATGGTCATTAAAATGACTACAGTAATGAACTTACAGGCGATTTTACTTTTGCAGCAGTTAGCAGGCACATGCTTATCTCCGAGAGATAGTCAAAAACCAAATAATCCAGCTTCTCTCCGTACAGTAGCTGGGGAACTAGAAGCAAAGCACAAAGTATAACTTACTTTAAAAATGTCAATTTAATAAGAATTTAATCTAAAATTTTAAAAAGCATGAGTGAAATCGCGCTTCCTTTACATTATCCCAAATCAGAAGGTGTGCATGTATGTTTACACGTTTTGTGGGCACGTCCCTGGGAACCCTTTCTTGCTTAATGAGTTTTTGGTCACTGTACTTTACATTCAAGCACTGCCTTATTGGGGGTGATAGTCCACACACTTCATCACGTTGCCTAAAGGAAAAGTAAATTATTATGGGGCAGCAGAAAAATATCTGCGGCCGGGGCAGCAGATTTCCCCATTTCCAGTGCTCTCCAGAAATTATTTCCTTCGAATGGTAAGGATCTCTCTGTAAAAAGAAGTGACAGAAATTTCCAATTCATCGGGTGGAAAATCTTCTTTGCTATTCCAGGCTCATAATCAGTTCAGACAAAAATCAATTCTGCCCCTCACAGCTTTTGGTATGATGGAAACAGGGGAGGTCAAAGGGAATACCCGCTCTTACCAAGCTCCTAGTCCCCTCTTTCCGTCATTCTACAATAATTGGGTGTGTTACTAAAAACCTCAAAGGCAATTCCCAAAGTAAAACACAAGAGACATAAAAGTCTAAAGAAAAATGCTATGGGAAGATATTTTGTCCTCCTCAACAGTGCATGTTTAAGGGGAGGAGCTTTGTCTGAATGTGGTGTCCCTGTATCCAGCATGGTTTCTGATGGTACATAGCAAAAGTTGGTTGAATAAATGGGAGTACATTTCAAATCAGTTCTTCTTCTTGAAAGTTTCTTCACACCATATCTCTCATTTTTCATAAGCTATCATGGCATAGCCAAGGATTACTTAAGCCTTGAATGTCTTATTAACTGCCACAGAATTCTTCATTCCGACACGGTTAAACTCCTAAAACCTACTGTAAAGAGTCTATGTAAAGGTTTCTCAAGGTAGAAACATTTTCCACTAGGTTAGAGACCTTGCCACAGCCAAGTCTTATATAAGTCCATAAAATAAACACAGTGTTGGAAGTATTTCTTAATTACTGAGATAGTCATTTACATATTTTTCCCCAGTATAATGCAACCAAAATACCGTATAAAACAGATGGATGGCTTTTACTATCATAAAAGAGTATACTCAGACATGATGCACACAGAATTCCTGAAAGGTAAATAATCCTACAATTAATGCTGTTATTTCTCCACAACACTTGAGCTCAGGTCAACAGCAACTACTTTGAGATATGAAGTAGAACCATCCAACGACATGCCTGTCAATCTTCAATTAAGCCATTCTACCGACAGCACACAGAACAGAATCTTTTCCTCAGTGATTTCAGAGAAGGAAGAAATATCTCGCTTTGGGACTTTATGTCAAGATGTTCAGCAACGGTGGGAAGTTCAAACAGGCTCAATCAGTGGTTGTGCCTGCGATCGTGGGAATATTGTGAAGGGAGAAAGACAAGAACAAAAGGATGCCACGAAGTTCAGACCAAACCCACTTTGTGGCTAATGGACGGCTAAAATGACCACCGTAGGCTCCAGAGATGATGTAAAATCCAACTGCACTGCAAATTAGTCACATATTTTTAAATGTTCCCTTGTTCGGTATTTTGAATCCTATCCGTCAGTGTTTCAGGAGTCCAGACGAAAAGGGAGCGGCTCATGGAGTCTGTTGTCTTGAGGAAAGGCATCTGAACAAGGGTAAGACACCGTGGAAAAGGCCAAGAAGGAGCAGAACCGGTGGGCAGTCTGCCTTCCCTCCAGTGTACAGGAACCTGCAAGCAGCCCAAAGCCCACCGGGAGGTGCAAGAATCAGAAGCAGGAGAGGTCTCTCTAGAGGACCCTCCCCCGAGGGCTGCCAGGTGCCCCCACTGAAGTCATCCCCTTAGGGATGGGGCCCAGGGCTTGGAGTTAGAAAGGACTTGGCTCCGCTCTAACTGTGGGCTCAGGGCTGTTGGACAGTTAAAGGAACACACTTGCTTGTACACTGTGATATCAGAACTTTTTTTTTTATCCTCACCCGAGGATATCTTTCCATTTTTTGTACAGATAGAGTGGGAGGGAGAGAGAGGAAGGGAGAGAGAGGAAGGGAGAGAGAGAGAGAAACATCGATGTGAAGGGACACATCGAGTGGCTGCCACCCGCACGACCAACCAGGGCCGGGGACAAACTGCAATCGAAGTACGCGCCCCTAGCGGGAACCGAACCCGGGTCTCTCCGGACCACAGGCCGATGCTCTAACCGCTGAACCAAACCGGCCAGGGCCAGAACTTTTTTTTAAAAAGTAAACAAATGATGAGAAGATAGAAATAATCATAAAAGCATTTCTCTATGGTTTATATTTACCAAAAAAAAAAAAAAAAAAGGTTCTTATTCCTTGTTGAGAGTCCTGGGTTTTTGAAATGTAAATAACATGATGAATTTGGTACAAATCTGGAGATAAAACAAAGAAAGACCAATAGAAATGGTCTTGGCTTCAGGAAATAAGTTGTATTCTGTTTTGCATTCCTAAGGCCCAGCACATTGCTCAAGAAATATTTATTGATGAGTAAATGTTACATTAAAACAATTCAAATGATGTCAATAATCCATGACCCTATGTACAATTGATAACTATCTGATATGCTGTGTGAGAGGATGAATAGAACTTGGTCCCAGTCCTGTTAGTGCTTACAAAGCCTTTTTACTTCCTTGGAAAATAAGACATTTACTGGCCACAGTCAACTTTTTCACTGAAGTTCCTTCAAGCATCATGTCCCACGCTCCATCAAGCTCAGTTCCCTCCAGGTCTAGGACACTCTGTCCTGGTTGAGCCCACACATGTCAGGATCATCTCACCACCATGTGCGGTGTGTTCCATGGCTTTGCTCAGAAACCCAGCCTTGTTCGACAGGGGTGCCAGGGGAGGCGGGGCTTCTGGGGAGGTGGGGCTGTCAGAGGGCGGGGCTAGAGGAAGTTCTGCAGGCTACCTGGGTTCTTGAAGTTATTCTGAGCCTGCATGTTACTGAGGAGAGGGGCGCAAATCAGGGAAAGGGTGCATCATAACCAAAGCAGGACGGCTTGGGAACCCCATGGAAGTTGTGAAGCTGCCTGCACTTATCAAGCTGTCTTGTAGCGTATGATTCTTAAATCTCCACCCATAAGAACACAGAACTGGGCCTGGGTCTCAGAGCCCCCCCACCTCACAACTCTCCCTGCCCTAGAGGCTACAAAACTAATTCAGAGTCTCAAGAATACAGCCTACACCTTTGGAGTTTCAAGCAAACACTAGCTCAAGAGAAAAAAACCCATCAGGACGCTGTCAGGCTACCTGCTGCCTTCTAACTGCAGAAGGAGCTGACTTTCTCCTTGTCCTCAGTTTGTACTGTACCCACCTTGTAAAACTGGCCTAGACTATGGCAAGAGACTGTGAGTTTCCTGAGGATAAGGACATGTCATATCCTCCTTTGAATATCGAGGCCTAGCACTGGGTGCTGAACTGAAATGCATAGTACCCCCCACCCCCCCACACAAGACCACACTGAACAAATGGCAGTTGATAACCCAGCTAATTACTTGGTTTACCTGTGAGTGAGTTAAGTGACTGAATTTGTGCACTGGTTTTTATGAGAAACTGATATAATAAGAATATATATTGCCTTCTTAAGCATAGCAGGGCCAAAGGATAAGAGAAAATTATGCAGGAATAATAGGACATCAGACATCAGTTCCATTAGAATCTATAGAGATAGAATCTATATGAGGTATAGATGCCACTAATTATTCATTTAAACTATGAGCACTGAAATCATTCACCCTGGAAAGTTTAATACAGTACATTGCACACACAGTCCTCAGTAAGATTAGTATTGTGTGTGTGTGGGGGGGGTGTTATAGATTACAAAATGCATTCACCATAAATGATCGAAGCTGCTCAATTTTTAGCTTCCTTATAGCTAAATTCTTTATGTACATTTATGTTTTACTTTATGCTCACAATAAACCTTCACAGTATTATATTATGCCCATCCCACAAATGTGCAAAACAGACCTTCTGAGAACGTCACACTACCAGTGTGTAACCAGGATTTGAAACCAGGTTTGTCTAATTGTAAAGCAAGAGTTCTTTTGCCCTGGCCGGTTTGGCTCAGCGGTTGGGGCGTCGGCCTGCGGACCAGAGAGTCTTAGGTTCAATTCCTGCTAGGGGCACGTACCAAAAAATAAATAAAAAAGAGTTCTTCCTAGCACTCAAAGTGCCCTACAATGTAATCTTGACTTTAGCCCTGTGACATAAATATTACAAATCACTTCCAGTGTCATTCATTCCGTAGTGTCAATAACCTTACATGCTGCTATGGTCTGAATGTTTGTCTCTCACAAAGTTTATCTGTTGAAAAGCTAATGCCCAATGTTGTGATATTAGAAGGGGGAGCCTTTGGTCATGAACATGTTTAGTGCCCTTATAAAAGAGACCCCACAGAGCTCCCTAGCTCCTTCCAACACACGAGGATACGACGAGTCTTTGACTGGGAAGAGGGCCATCACCCAACTATGCTGGCACCCTGTTCTCAGACTTCCAGACTCCAGAAGTGTGAGAAATAAATTTCTGTTTTTTATCAGGTCCCCAGTCTCTGGTATTTTGTTTTAGTGGCCCAAAGGGACTAAGACACATGCTAAGCACTAAAAAAACACAGCAGCGATCAAAACGGTCAAAATCTCTGCCCTCCAAATTCTTTGGAGTTTACATTCTGGGGGTGGACAAGTGGGAAGAGGGGGGAAAAGCACAACACGTATTTGTGATCTGGCAGGTGCTGTGAAGAAAGATAAAGCGAGAGTTAGGAAGCCCCAGGAAAGACTGGGTAGAATGGTAGCTCCTGGATGTGGAGTGGCCAAGGGTAGGTGTCTCTGACAACAGTGTTTGAGTGAGCAGAGAACTGCAAGACGTGAAGGAGCCGGCCACAGGGTGTTGGAGGGAAGACTGTTCCAGACGGAAAGACTACTAAATGCCCAAGACAGGAATGCGCTTGGCGTACTGGTATCACAGCCGGGAGGTCAGTGCCAACAGCGTTAGTGAGCAAGGGGGGACCAGGAAAGAGATGAGATCAGAAAGGAAACTGAGACTGCACGTCATCGTCTTTTAGGTCACTGTAAGGACTCTGGATTTTACTGTGAATGAGATAAACCACTGGACAGTTTTCATCCAATGCAGGATATGATTGACTTGCCTGATTACTTGCAGGTATGAGGAGAATAAACTGCAGAAGGGCAAGGAAAAAAAATAAAAAAAGAAAGACTGAGCTACAGTCAAATTAGGGAGAAGGTTACACTAGAGTGATTATAAAAGACAAGTCTTGCAAGAGTTTTGACCTGAGCATGGAAGACAGGTTTGCCAATTACTGAGATAGATTAAGACAGAGAGAGCAGATCAGGGCATTCAGCTTTAAACATGTTTCTTCTGAGATGCCTTTTATGGAAGATATGAAGAAGGCAACTAGATACCCAAACATGGATTTTAGAGCAGGACAAATCCATGTTGAAGGCATAAGTGTGGAGTCTATCAGGGTACTGATGTTAAATGTCATTGAGGAGAGCACCTAGGCCTGGGACACTCCAAATTTTAGCTTTTAGAGAAGAACCAGTCAAGGAGACCGAGGACTGAGCAGGGAGGAAGGAGGAAAACTTCAAGAGACTGCAAGACGCAAGATTTTAAGGAGACTGTGATCAATCTGGTCAATAGCACTGTTGAGTCAAGGAAGATAAGGGTCAACACTGACCCCTCAATTTAGTAGTCATTGGCCAGATGGGTGGAGGTTATTAGTCCCAGCTTCCCTGAAATAAGAAAAACAAGGTTCAAGAGATTAACTAAATTGAACACCAAGGTCACATAGCCAGTTAGCAGCAGAACTAGGCCCAGGACCCAACGCTGAACGCCAGCCTTCAGAAGTTAACTATGTTTCTGGAATCCCAGAGCAGGCTCTTCTTCAATAACATATTATGATGTCATCCCCCGCTTGGTAACTGTGATGCAGGAGGGGCCTCTAAAAGAACAGTAAGACTGTAAACTAAAAGGAACAAACATCAACATTAGACGTTCCAGGCACAATGACAGAGAGACAATGGTTTAGTATTTCATGACAGAGAGAATACCCTTCAAATCAAATGAAACAGGCAGACGCTGCAATCAGAGCACACCCAGGTATCAAAACACACTTCAAAACAAAGGAAGGTGTACATCTCTCAGGGAATTCTCTGTGCATGGGATTTCACCAGATGACTTCCACGTAAATAGACACACACACACACACACACCCAGGCCCCATTCCCAAATGTCACTAGCACTGTGTATAATCAGTGTTTGAATAATGGGGATTTGATTCCTCATCCTCTTTCCTTCACTTGATTTCTCTATCAAGGTACCCAGAAGAAGGGAGAGGGAGGATATATATTTTAGTTTTAAATTAAAATTTAAGACGTAAACATTCTAACAAAATTTTAGGTAGAAACCCCTTTTTAACAGTCCCATCTCCTCCTCTCAAACCACCACCAACAACCAAGGAGCCCGTGGTGCTGCCAAGGTCTGCTGACCGATTTTGCAGACTAGGAAAGTGAGGCGTTCCAAAGGGGGCCGGGGGTAGTAAAAGATGGACTTGGCTCGGAAATGACTTGTTCCCCTGGACCGGGCAGTGAGAGGGAGTGGTTGATGGTCCCAGGGTAAGAAAAGAGAGGAAGGCTGGTACTTTCTCAGGGTGAGGTTGAGACAGGGCTGGCACCCGGTCAACTCGGAGAGGGGAAAGGTCGCTGCCAGGCTGGGACGCGTGACGGAGCGGTCGTGAGACTAAACCCTCCGGAGCTCCAGGGGCCGCGGCTCGGGCTCCAGCCCCCACACCTGGGGTCTCCCTCCGGGGCTGCAGCTAACTCCGCGCGCCTCCCGGCCAACCTTGCCCTCCGGGAACGCGGGGTGAGCGTGGGGCGCAGACTGCAGCCGAGTTACCTGAAGCCGCCGTGTCTCCCCAGAAGGCGGAGGCGCAGCCGATGCGCACGCCGCAGTCCCCCAACCCCGCCCGCGTGCCCAGCGTCCGGGGCCCTGCGCCCCAGGAGGCCGCCCGCGCGAGCCGGAGCCCGAGCCGCAGACGGAGAGTGGCCCGCAGCGGGCGCAACCGGCAGACGAAGCTCATGGTCACGCAGTGCGAACCCGAGTGCGCCGCCGCGTGTGCGCTGGCCGCGCCTGGCCCCTACCGGCCACGCCCCGCCGGCCACACCCCGCCGGCCACGCCCAGCCGGCCACGCCCAGCCGGCCACGCCCAGCCGGCCACGCCCAGCCGGCCACGCCCGCGCCCGCGCGGGTCTCGGCCCGTCCCTGCCACCCTGCGCTCCAGTGACTGGGACAACCGTCCCCGCAAAACAGACGTGGCGGGTTGCTGACTCAGCGCCTTCCCTGTTGTTAGAGTTTGCGTGAGAGATTGAGAGATTCTCCAGCACTCCCCATTCCTTTTCAAATTCTGAGTTTGAGAAAAAAACAAGATAAAGATATGGGAGCCTCCCTGCCCCAGAAACCCCCTAATCCAATTTCTCTTCCAAGGAGCTAGAGAATGGTATCAACGCCAGCTTGCTTTCTCCGGCAGCGTCAGTAAAACTATTTACGAGGAACTAATCTAAGGGCTTTATTTAATTTATAACAAAAATAAACTCTTCTGCGTTACATTTGTTACATTTATTAACACATTAAATTTAAAAAACTCAACGAGATGGATAACGCAGTTACCCCCTTTGTACAGTTGTGGAAACGGAGACACAGAGAAGGAAGTCCCGTTCCCAAGGTCACACAGCTGAAAGCTATAAAGCTGGAATTGAAACCCAGGCAGTCTGGTCCCGTGTGCACAGTCTCAGCTCTCACGGTATACTGCCTCTGTTAGAGGGGGAAAAACACCATGATCTCATTTAATCCCCACAACAAACCTACCTATGGGTGGGTATTGTTATTGTCTCCGTGTTACAGGCAAGGAAACAGGCGCAGAGAGTCTAATGATGGAGCTAGAAAGTGGTGTAGGCAAGACGCTAGCAGCCAGTTTGATCCTTAACTACCACGGGAGGGGAGATGCTAAGTTCGTACATTCAGTGGCACAGAGGGAGAAGGAATGGCCTAGAAAATGTGTGCAGCATAATCTTCAAATATCGAGCCCCTGGGCTTTAGGCTCAGTCCTTAGTGTCCTTCCTGGGGCCGGACACGGGGCGGCTCTCTTTCCCAGCTGCAGCGGCAGGCATTCGGGTATTCACTGCCATGCCAAGAACCTAAGGGGCCTTTGACCAAACCCAGAGCCACACCAAGGCCCAGCCGTTTTGCCAACAGCTGGGACAACTGCTCCCTGAGTTGGGCACAGCATATTTAAAGTGCCTACACATGTGAGCTTCATCTCTTTTGTGGCCAGGCCCCCCAGGGGTGCTTTGGGAAGGGATAACCAACCGGCGACACCAGTACCACCAAACCCTCTTTGCTCCTAGTTGGGGAACAGTGCAACTTTCTGAAGGGGAACAAGAGCGAAAGGAGAGGCACAGAGGATGTGTAAGGCCATGACCAAATTAACAGCTTGATTTCTCTCTCTCCGTTTATAAAGTGCATTTTTTAAAATCTTCACCCAAGGACATTTTTGCATTTTATCTTCAGATAGAGCGGGAGGGAGAGAGGGAGGAAGAGAGAGAGAGAAACATCGACGTGAGAGAGACACATCTACTGGTTGCCACCCACGCGACCCCAACCGGGGCAGGGGACACACTGCAACTGAGGTACATGCCCTTAGCGGAACCGAACCTGGGACTCTCTTGGCGGGCCCCCACTCTAACCGCTGAGCCAAACCCACCAAGGCTAAAGTTCATTTTTTTTCTCTTCCTGCCAAAGCAGGGCCTATCTTGCTGGATGTAATGAGTTCTGCGGTTCTGGGGCCAATCAAGAAAAAAGACAGGACTATGAGGAGGGAGGAGCACACAGAAAGCTTTATTTGGGCAACACTTTGACAAGTTTGCATGCAAGAGCAGGAGCAGGGAGCCCTACACAGCATGGGACCATCCAGAGGCTGTGGCAGCAGAGGGGCCACTGCCCAGAACAATAGGAAGGTAAAGGAACATCCCCCCCCCACACACACACACTTGGGGTGGTGATGAGGGGGTGGGAGAGGGGCTCACAAGTCAAGGTAAGACCCCTTAGCAGTCCCTCTGGGAGTCTCTGGATCAGGGCACTCCCATGGACAGCTGCAGAGTCCGGTTTAATAGCTACAAAGTTTATCTCCTTAACCGTCAGCAATTGTTGGATGCAGTTTCTCAAAGTATGCCAAGTAGGCCAGTTCTCAGTAGCTAAAAGTCAGCTTGCTTGGGATGTGTTGAAAATAGTTGAGCGTGTTTTAAATATGAAAATTTGACTTTGGTGCCCTCAGGCTTTTGAGTTCATGGGTCCCAGCCTGTTGTGAAGAAATCAACGACCCAGGAACCAATACACAGGGCCATCTTTGGCTTATTAATGTAACATCTTAAGATCTGGTAGGAAGTACACCAAACCTACCCAGAATCCATGGTTCCACCAGGTCCAAGTCTCTCCCAGGCAGGTTACATTCCCACATTCTGAGTTCAGGGTTGTCACCTGACCCACTTTGAATGCTGGTGATTGACAGTGGCTGATGATTCATTCCTACATGACCATCCCTTCATCAGCACAAAACAGAGGAATCTAACATTCAGACAATCAGTTATGCACATACAAAAGGAATGGGCTGAAGGCTATTAGCGTCTATGAGGCAGTGTGAGTAGACAGGTGTGTATCCCACGCGGCTGCCTGTTGTTTTCTAACAGTGAACTAGCTTCACCAGCAGGTGGCTCTGTTACATTACCTACCAGAGAGGGTCTGGCTCCCATGATAGGGTCTCAAATAAAACAAACTTCTAAGTTGTTTCTATTCTGGTCATTAGCTCTAGTAAGTGCTATGTAATCATAGCCATCAACAATGGTGTATGCTAAATTAGAGCCATTTACTGTGCAATCCAACCGATTCCCGCAAGCTCCCCAGGAAATTCAGCACAACTAGATCCACTTCGCAGAATATACTAATGAACAAAATCTGTTTACTAGACAGTCTACCTGCTTCTAACTCCATAGAACGTGACATAAGCAAAATGACTACTCCACTGCTCATTCTGTGTTATCGGACATACCATCCAACAGCAAAGGGACTCTCCAGAGAACACTGTCTATTACTCTTTAACTTGAAAGCATTCCAGGGCCCAGACACACAGGTGAACTCAAGTCTTCAGTTTCATTCTGGAGACCGGAAAGTCTTTGGCATGTCTGTAGGACTGGGCACGAGGCAGAGACCGCCATTCTCTCACGCCCTGTCTATTCTGTTAGCTTTAAAGTCAGGCCCAAGTTCTGTCCCCCAGCCCTTTTATTTTCACACCTTATTGTCTTCTTGGAAACTCTCATTGTGCCCCATTGACTCAACATTGGTTCTCATCCCCAAAGCCCTGTCTTCAGCACTCCAATTATCATCACTTATTAGAGGTTTCACTTCTGCTCATGCTTAAAATGTTAGAAGTTGGATTGGTTTTCTCTCACCCCTAAACCAGTTCCTCCTTCTTATTTTCCTATTTAGGTTAATAGTCAATGCTCCACTTCCTTTGAGTTATCTTTGACCCTTTCCTCCCTGCCTCCTCCTCCCAATTTAACCCTTTCCTAAATAGACTAGCCCTTTCTAGTCTATTTCTATAAAGTGCTTGAATGTTTTCGAACTATTTCCTGTACACCTCCAGTGTGCAAGGGCCCCTGCAGTGTGTTAAGGCTTTGGGCTCCAAGCCAGCCTACTTGTCATTCTTTTAGCAGCATTGAATCAATACTCTGAAAGCAACACATCAGTACATTGATTACCAGCAATTTAATTTTTAACTTCAATAGGAGAAACTGATATAGCTTGGGTTTTAAAAAATTCTTTTTGTAACGAGAAACAAGACTGTGCCTTCACTATAAAATATAACCGATGCATTATATGAGCTTTGAAATTGCTGAATAGAAAGCAGCCTCCTTAAGTAAAGCAAGTGTGATCGCTCTTTACAGTGCAGGGCAGTGGGTCTCTTTTCCGTGCACAGGATGGTAACCACCTGGGGACCTTGTTTGTGAAATGCAGGCTCCTAGGGACCATACCTAGATACTCTGATTCAGGAGCTCTGGAAAGGGGCCGAGGAGTTGGCATTTTTAAACAAAATAAAAATCGAAGAAGCATTTTTAAGAAACAGTTGTGCAGAAGAAAAGTATAAGTGCTTGAAATAAAATATCATTCTTACATCATGAAATTGCTTCATATAACGACTCTTAGTCACCTAATTTTCATTATTTGATCCTATAATTATATCCCAATAGCTGTCTGTTTCCTTTAATTTTATCATTATAAGCTCATATCTTTGGTTTCTAGTTTTTTCCCAAGTTTACATTTCAGTGTTGGTAGGAGTAACACCTTAGGCTGGATTAGTCTTTCACAATTCACTATATGTGAGTTCTTCAGATCCTATTCCTGGGAGAGCAGGAAGTAGGTAGGGATTCCTGAAAGGAGAAAGAAGGTACCACCGCGCACTCCAGTAGGCTAGGGTACTGGGGACAAACTGGGAGTCGGTGGTATGTCTTCTCACCAGACAGAGATGTGGCAGTCTGAGGTTCAATTGCAATTTGTAGTTGAGGAGTGGGACGGGGAACCCAAGATCCTGGAACCCAACCTCCTGTGAGAACTTCACAAATGTAGGTCATGACCCCTTTGCCGGTGCTGGGCTGGGACATAGGTGAGTGAGATGGGCTACGGCCTGGGACCAGAACAGACGAACCTAAGGAACGGGGCAGGTAAAGGTCACTTGCTTTCTTTACCATACACCCTTTCCCTGGTCCTGTATGCTCTAGACATTTTCCTTAAATTGGTGCAAATGCCTGACCAAGCTCCCAAACAATACTATGCCAATTCCCCCATTTCCACGCCTTCCAGTATTTTCTTTAACTTGGCGAAGGTTGTATGGTTTGGTTAGGGCCCACTTGTTCTGGGGAAGTGGGAGTCACTCAGAAACCTGTGCGTGGCCTTGTGTCCTTATACTTCATACTGTGGACCGGAAAAAGTGACCAGTAGCTCCCGGAAATTCATCCTCCTGCTGTGGCATCC